CAGTAGAGTTAAGTGACATGATTGATCTGAATTATCAAAAGCAAATGACAAAAGTACAAAGTCAGATTAAACAATGGAAAAAACGCATCCTTAGCCCAATAGGTAAAACCACGATTGTAAAATCGTTATTAATTTCCAAACTTACCCATCTATTTATCTCCCTACCCAACCCAAACAACGGATTTATTAAATCGCTTGAGACTGAGTTTTATAATTTTGTATGGGGGTCAAAATGTGATAGAATTAAAAGGGACGTAGCCTCTCAAAATCACAACGCTGGTGGCCTTAAAATGATTGACATAAAATGTTTTATTACATCATTAAAATGTTCTTGGTTGAAAAGACTAATTACTAGGAAACAGATTTGGACTAATATATTAGAATCCATATTAGGAAAAAAGTTAATCCAGAACCTGCTCGACTTTGGTGATGATTATGTCAGGAAGTTAGCAGAACGTATCCAAAACAAATTTTGGCAGGATACTCTGATAGCTTGGGCTTACTTTATGAAAGTCCAAATGTTAAGGGAATGGGCAAGTGACCCAGGCGCAATACCTCTTTGGTATAATACTGAAATTAAGATTAACAACGCTTCGGTGTTTATCCCTTCCTGGTACAAACAAGGAATAAAAGTTCTTGGAGATATGTTGGACAATCAGGGAAATTTAATGAAAAAGAATGTGCTTGAACAAAAATTCAATTTGAGAGTCCAAACTATGCAGTTTAATAGCATGTACAGTGCAGTTAAGGTTTTTCTAAGACAATTTGATAAGGAAAAGGTGGCTATTACAGTCACCCCTTACTACCCGTTTCATTTCAAGGGGCTTATGCTAAATGAAAAAGGAAACAGATATGTATATAATGTCCTAAATAAGAAAAATATTATTCCCACTGGTGTCTGTACATGGAACCAAAAACTATTCAATAACGGGGACGCTCGCTTAAAAACGGAAGAAATTTTTGAGACTTGTTTTGGAACTTCTCGAGATACAACGTTACAATGGCTTCAGTTTAGAATAATACATAGGATACTCCCTTTGGGTGCTTATTTGAAAAAGATTGGCATTCAGGATAATGACATATGTGGCTTTTGTAAAAGAGACCGTGAAGATCTCCTTCATGTGTTTATACAATGTAATAGTGTGCGTCCTCTTTGGAATAAGTTTCAAGACCATATACTCGAAAAAACTAATGTCAATTTGGATCTCGATGACTATAAAATCTTGTTTGGAATAAAATGCACAACGGAAAGTAAAATTTTTAATTTACTTATTATGTTTGGAAAACTATATATTTACAAGTGCCTGAAACAAAAAAAGACCCCAAGCTTTCAAGGTCTTTTGGGTTACATAAAATTTATGTATCATGTTGAAAAAAATATTGCTTTGCGTCATGGATCTTGCACATATGACAACTTTGTTAAACAATGGGCACAATGGTTACCACTTTTTGTTGAAGGGGAATAGCAGTAGCATCCCTTTCTTTATCTTTTGGGTTTAAGTTTTCTATTATATTTTATTTAATTTTGTTTTGTTAATCAGCAGGCACTTAGAGATGAAGTTACTATATTTGAGTGAAATGGACAGACAACTAATTAGTCTATTTTTGTAAACACAACTGTGTAATGCAAGGATAATATACATATTAGCAGTGACCAAGTATGAGTGTTGTGCGTACGTGGGTATGTGTGCGTGTATGAAAGGAACATATATATATACTCTATTTGTGTTTATTTATTTACTTATTATTATTTTTTTTCCAAAAAAAAAAAAAAAAAAAAAAAAAAAAAAAAAAAAAAAAAAAAAAAAAAAAAAATTTCTTATCGCGCCGTCTACAGGAGATAATTGCAGTGCGCGGTAGACGCACACGCTGTTAGGCACGTGACCTTTAACGAGCACATCCTAATGCTAATTGTGTGTGAATTTGGTGATATTTGATGGCGTCTTTTCAATTTAATAGACATTTCTGTACATCTGAACAAGGCACAGTGAAACAGTGGATTTGAGGGGTTACCTCTTTTAAATATTACTAAATGGTATAAAATGTGTATATTTTCACCACTATTTTGTATTTTTTTAAACCATTAATCATGTTAGACACGGTATCTGTAATAAAAAGCACTTTTCTAACAATTTACAGCTGTGAGGTGATCATTTGTAGATAAAAGTGCACGGAAATGGGGGTGGGACAACCTTTTTGACCAATGTTGTATGTGAAGTAATACACTGTCACCCGAGCGATATATGTCATAACAACTCGAGCGTCAGCGAGAGGTATTCATGGCATATATCGCGAGAGGGTGACAGTGTATTATTTGACATACATACCGAGAACAAATATAGTCATTTCACCCTAAAAAAAACCATAAAACCGAATAAAGTGACCCTATATCACGCTCTAGAGATGTTATGTGGAATAAACTCATCGATATCCACGTGCGCTGGTCACCTCCCGCCTGGCCAAATTCTTATGTAATGTCTGACCAATTTGAACAATTTTTGCTGAATACTTGTCGTGAAAAGTATACTGGCTTGAAAAGTATTTAATCAACCGTCGAAACTGACCATGCTCGTCTTAGCTGAGCCACACCTAGCTGGGACTGCTGCGGAAAAAAGGTCCCAAGGCAAAACGTCTACTTTTTAGTGACATTTCTGATAAACGAGGAGCGTCGGATTAGAATATAGTCAAACTAATTATTCACAAGTGCGAAGGAGAAAGAAATTTACTCTTTACTATGGTGATATTTCTGACAAGGAGGCAGTTTCGAAATATAGTCAAAGTCAGACGGATGTTTACTACGAGTTCACGGGAGTAATAATTCTTGTTTGATTGTTATTTCTGACGACGTGGCGGTTACGGAATATAGTCAAAATCAAACGGAGGTTTATTTCAAGTCCACAGGAGTAATAATTCTACGTTTTGGTGACATCTTTTACTACGAGGCGGTTTCGGAGTATACATGTGCTGGTTTTCAGAGCATTCATGTGCTACATGTAATTACAAGTTCAAAGGGGGAATAGATTTGATTTTTACCGAAATATCTGATAAAGTGGAAGATTGAAAAGCTGAAAAACAAAAGGTAAATCACACAACCCTCGTTAAAAAGTTATAGATTTACAAATGTGTATGTACGCATGGCTCAATTGTAAACTAATTCCCGTTTTCAAACCATACCCACATGATATGACTTTATAAAATTATAAAGAATAATTGTTAAACGTGAAAAGTGTATGTTAATTTTAAGAGTGTGAGAGATTTTAAATTTGTCAACTGGTAGGTATATAACGCAAGTAAAGTTACTATATTCTCTTGATGCCAAGAAGGTCATATGATCACTGTCTTCGGCTTTCAGCATTTACGAGACCTCGACTGATTTAACCAAGATGTAGTCGTGAAATTCTAGACTACGACGAGGTTATATCCGAGTTTTCCGAGAGACGCTACGCAGAAATGTCGAGTGAAGCGAGATATTTTTGGGTCTCGGCTCGAGGTTGCCCTCGATCTTCACTGAAGCTTGGCTTAATGGACAGGCTTCAGTGATCAGCATATCGCCATGGTCATATAACATCCCTAGGTATGTATTTCAGGTGAGATAGCAATCTGCATGGGGCGTAACTTCATCCCCGAATCATGGAAATTATATATAGGAGCCTAACACTAAGTGAGCAAAAACAAAAAAAAGGGAAAAACTTAATTAAGAAAATTATGGTCTGGATTTTTATTTTGGAAGCTCTATGTGAAAACAACTATGAAAGTTTGACGGAGATATGCTGAGACGCATAAAAAAGTTGCCCTTATCGTTGTAAAATAATTTTAGCATCCCAGTACTTCTCTGAATTGAGTTTTTCTTTTCTTTCTTTTTTTTTTTTACCATTTTCGACCATTTTGACCGTCTTCCGACAGAAAAAATTAGACACCCGTCAATCCGGAAGACCCAGAAGACGCAGAGGCCATACGGAGCATATATTTGAAAAGAACGTTTTTTTTAAGCAAAAAGACAAAGACATCTGAAACTTTGGGAAATCATTGTACATATACTGAGGTTTATGTCCAGCAATCCTCTTGAAATTTGATGGGTCTTTGTATGAAATTAAATTACTTTTTTGGGTCCATTTTATTTATTTTTTTATTTTTTTTTATTTTATTATTATTATTTTTTTTATTTATTTATTTATTTATTTATTTATTTATTTATTTATTTATTTTTTGGAGGAGGGGTCACCCTGTACCAAGTGTACTCATCACGCAGAAACTTGGGCAAAAAAGGCACAGGCCAAGATAAACAAGGGAAGCCACTTCGGTACAATTGTCCTCAACAAACGTAATGGAAACACCAAGGCGCATTGAACAGTATACACCTTTAATTCAACAGGTAAGATACGGTTTTGGAATTTATCAGTTATCTGTTTTTGATGATTCATTATTTGTTTCAGTTTATCTAGGCGAAGGACTAGTTGAGATAACCACTAAACAACCTAGAATTTATCCATTGCCGCCCAGGACTGCATTGCAAATTTTATGCACGATTAAGCCAAGTCGAGGAAAATACAATACTCTCTACTACCCTCTACCAGGGCGACAGACCAAAATGACCGTCTATCTATCTAGAGACATATCTGTGAATATCTGTAAAAAAATTTATCTGTTGCCCTGGTAGAGGGTAACTCTCTACCGGGGCCGCAAATTATTTATGTGGTTTATTTCTCCAAGGCGAGTGGAGAAATCTATTGTGGTGACCCTGGTAGAGGTTACAAAAGTGCTATATCTATGCAGGGAATTATATCGGATATATAATTCCCTGATCTATGCAAAAGTGGTTGCAAATGACTTGCAGCGGTAGCATTTTTGAAAGTCAGAAATGATTTATTTCAGTCCCAAACAGATAACGATGTCTTAAACCATGTACTTGTATGTTTTTATGTCGAAGTTGCTGAAGTTACCAGTATATAACTTATTAACAACGGCAGTATTTGAAAGAGCTGGATTTAGACATGTATTCATTTTTGCATGTATTCATTTATTTTCTGCAAGCTTAGCTTTGATTGCTGAGACCCTGTATGGCATACGGATGCACATTAACCAGTAGGTCGGCTGTGTTTGGTTCCAGGGAAGAAAGTCACAACACACCCCTCATGACGTATTTGTGTAATTTGAATTTCTCAAAAGACAAGCATACTAATCTGTGTCTTCGTGTTCGAATATGTTTGAAAAAAGCGACGACGGCGTTTGTCAATAACTAAATATTATGTTACCCATTAGTGAATGAAATGTAAGGGCATCATCATTTGCCTTCACTTGAAAGTGTTTAGACGTTTTCGAAGAATGTTCCAGTCAGGCGACTCATCCATAACACAAAAACAGACATGATGATCAATACGTTCATAATAATTGCCACTTTTCAAGAATTGTATTACTCTTACAAGTACATGCAATTTTTTTCAAATCTGGGACTGGTATCCGCAACATGACACTGCAACTAATAATTATCCGGTAAAGCAGGGTCGGGATGGTTAGGGAAGATCTCACAAGGAAAGGGCTTTCCCCACTGGAACACGTTAGTCACGCCGCACCTTGCCATGTGGTTCCTAGAGCTTGGAGGGGGCATATACCTGCAAGACGTGCAAGAGTCACGTTGCCAAATATCCGGCTCCCATTCTCGTTCAGGGGTAAGGTAAGCCTTGAAAAATAACAAGTGAAATTGCTAATTCTATTTCGGGTTGTGAATGCAATATTGAAGAATTTCTCGAAATCTTTTTTAAAACAATTGAATATGTCCGTCGAGCAATTACATGAAATACGCCCCATTTTTATTTCTGTCATTTATTCATCCCTTATTTATGTATCATTTCTCTCAATTTATGCCTTAATTTCAAATTCAAATTAAAAGATAACTTTCTCAACAAAATGAGTTGTTAAGCAATACCTTAATATCATAGACAAAGGAAAACAAAAGAAAATCTCTCTCTCTCACACACACACACACACACACACACGAAAACACACACGAAAACACAGTGAAGTTCATTAGATCAATATACAATATAAAAGCGTACTGCCCAGTACCTTTACATTAAACCAGCCTTCCCAAGTTCTGGAACAGTCCATAAGCACGTCCAACATCCAGTAGTGTTCTCCCCACTTGTTCCGAGGAGTGTAACCGAAACCGGCTCTCTCAGCGTTAAAGTAATCAGGGTCGTTCATTGTACAAAAGTGAAAAAAAAATACTTATAAACAAAATTAAGTCAATAAAATAATCAGTTAAAAGTAAACACCAAGCGTCAATCGTAAGATTTAAAAGCACGTTGTATTTCATATCAAATGCACTGACACATATATCTAACCAAATGGCTGTCCAAAAAACACTACACTTCCTTCATGCTCGTCGAGCAAGTCTAAAGAGTAAATAAACAATAAATATAATGCATAATACTCACAGACGACCCTGGTAATAGCAAGCCATATCGTTCGGGTCGCACCAACCACTTGCATCAGTAGTCCACATCATGGGTGTCCCTTGGGGCGGGAAATTGATCGACTCAACCATGCCCTGGCCCCACTCTGGACCGTACCAGTCCAGGAAATTGTCCCCCTGACGCCAGGCATTGTATTTCCCATAACGAGTTGTCCAGATGTGCCAAATGGGGATGCTGCACGGGTCAACAGTGGCGTTGTGGACACAATCCGGTCGTCTACTGTGGTCTAGACCTACAGGTGAGTGAGGGAATTATTCATTTATTTATTTTCATTTATTTATTTTTTATTTTTTATTTTTTAATTTTTATTGCAAATAATTGACTAACTTGTATAAAACATAAGTACCTCCTCGAAGAAAGACATACTGTGAGGGTGACGTCTCCTTGTGGATGAATATGATGGTCCTTTGCCAGTCACTGCTTATAGAAAGTGAAAAATACGGCAGGTTTACATGTATGTACATGTGCAAAAGTGGCGGCAAAACAAGCCTACTTCTACGCAGACATGGAGCACGTGCACTTGCAAAAACATATCCTTCATTTAAATGAAAATAGCTCGCATTTTAATGACATTTTAGAGTTAATCAGCACTTGCATCAAACAAATCGTGTGAAAAATATTTTATTACCGTCTCAGTTATAGACTTGTTAAAGTTGTTGAAATTACTGCATACTTTAAGACGCAAGCACACGTATTTCACAAAATCACCATACTGCGTTGATGCTGCTGAACGATGGTGTTAATGGCGACATAACAGAATTCCCATTCACACATTTTACCTGTACTAAGTGTACTCACCTCGGAGGAAGTTGAGCAGTAGAAGCACAGGCCAAGACCAACAAAGCAAGAACACTCGGTACCATTTTCTTTAACGAAAGTAATATAGTTATATCACTTGGGTGCACTGAACAGTGTGCGGGTTTTATCCAACAGCTAGGATTCGACTCTGGATATTATCAGTTATCTATAGATACAAATAAGCTGTTTTTGATGATTCAATATTTGTTACAGATGATCTAGGTGAAGGACTAGCTAAGATAACCACTAAATAACCTCAAATTTGGCGATTGCCATACCACGCGCGCAGAACTTGCATGTCAAATAACATACACGAGTAAACCAAACCGGGGAAAATAATATTATCTACCAGGGGCGGCAAAATAAATATGGGCACTTTTATAAAACGCGAGTACAGAAATGTGCCATGAATTAGCCTGAGACATACACACAATGGACAATAAAAGTGTCACCCCTACTGAACCAATACTTTGGGGGAGATAAGTGACTGTGGAATGATATGCTCCTGGTATCATTTTATTTACATCAAATAAAAAAAGCACAAAAAAAGGTACACCAGGCATTATAACTACTTAAGATCTGCCTACTTTCATTATTGATTACTTGATTATTATTTGATTACTCTGATTCAGGGGGAGACACTTCTATTGTCCATTGTGTGTATCTGTGAATATCTATCGAAAAATCAATCTGGGACCGTGGAAGAGGGTAGAAAAATGTTGTATTTAAATAATAGTTGATGATTTATAGCGGTAACAATTTTGAAAGTCAGAAATGGATTTTTCTATTTATTTATTTATTTATTTATTTTTGTCAGTTTCATACAGTTGAAGATTCGATTGCTTAAACAATGTACTAGTATGTATATATAGTGCAGTTTACGGTCGTATAACATCATAGGAGCGAGTCAGGACTTTTATATCTGAGCAGTTATAAATGAGATAAACACTATTTGATTTTCCAATTTTATTCACCGCAATCAAATGACGGCTGAAATTATAAACAATTACATTGTACAGACAGTTTAAACAGAAGATTATTATATCGAACGCAGAACTAACAAATAATGTCAAATGTGATATAAATATACATGTATAAACAGACTGAAAGAAATAAAGTCAAATTTACCTCAGATATAAAAGTCCTGTAGTATTACCCAGCCATTATTCTCTATTATTTACTTTAGCTTTTTTGTTTTAGCTGAATTTATTCATTTATACGTTCATTTTGTGAAAGCGTAGCTTTGATTGCTGAGACCTGCATGTAGTAAGGCAGGTAGATGTACATTTACCAGTAGGTCGGCCATTACAATATTCAAAGGAAAAACAGTACTCTCAAAGAGGTCCAAAGATGGCCAGCACTCTTCACAAACAAATGAGCATAATGGACTTTAATGTCTCATAATCTTTTATTGCTTTTGAATTAATTTTTCACAATTATTACTTGATTTTTTTTTTCAATTTTACATTTATTTATCCGGATAAGACGAGTCAACTAAATTTTCGAACAACTTCCTCAGTCTATTTCCCACTGGACATGTATCCCTGTCTGGTCGTCCGTGGACTGCTGGTGACCGTGCTGGGCAAAGCAGGGTCAGGGTCGTTAGGGTAGATCTCACAAGGAAAGGTTTGACCCCATTGGAACACGTTAGTCATGCCGCACCTGGCCATGTGGTTCCGTGAGCTTGGAGGCGGTAGATACGTGCGTGACCTGCAAGAGCCCTTTTGCCAAATATCCGGCTCCCATTCTTGTTCAGGGGTAAGGTAAGCCTTGGAAAATAACAAGTGAAATTGCTTATTTAATTTTGGGATGTTACATGCAATATTGACGAACTTATAGAAATCTTAAATATTGATTATGTCCATCGACCAACGACATGAAATATAACTCATTTTTTGACTCTGTCAATTATGTAATTCTTGTTTATATTTTCAATCAGTTACTCAATTTTAAAAAGAGTCAAAGTAATAGATACCTTGTTCTTTTTCTCAACAAAAACAACATCAATAAATCTAAAACATGATCTCATTTTCATAGATAAAGCAAAACAAAAAACAAATCTCTCCCTCAGTGAAGCTCGTTAAATCAATATACGATATCAAAGCTTGATGCCGCGTACCTTCAAATCAAACCAGCCGCTCCAAGTTCTGGAACAGTCCATGAGCACGTCCAGCATCCAGTAGTGACTTCCCCACTTGTTCCGCGGGGTGTAACCGAAACCGTCGTTCTCGGCGCGAAAGTCATCATACTTGCTGCATCGTACAAAGGTGAAAAAAAAACAGACTTATCGACAAAATAAGGTAAATTAAACAATCTGTTAAAACTACACACAGAGCCTTAATCTTGAAATCAAAATGCTCGTTTTATTATCAGTGATTGTTCAATTAGTACAGTTCATAATCAAATTCAGTGGTACACAAAGCCAAACGGCTGTCAAAAATCACTCTACCTCCTTTCACTTTGTTGAGCAAGTCTAAATATTAATAAACAAACAATTAACATTATGCATAATACTCACAAAGGATATCTGCAATTAAAATCGCCCGGGGGGCACCACTGCCCTCGCGAATACCGTCCACTAGTCGTCCACATCATGGGTGTACCTTGGGCCGGGGTATACACGGTGGTTGACCTCACGAAGCCCTGGCCCTGCTCGGGACCGTACCAGTCCAGGTAGTTGTCCCCCTGGCACCAGGTTTTGTATTTATACCCAAAGTAGTGCCCACGGGTTGTCCAGATGTGCCGAATGGGGATGCTACATGGGTCAACAGTGGCGTTGCGGACACAATCCGGTCGTCTACTGTGGTCTAGACCTACAGGTGAGGGAGAGGATTTTACTTCTTTGTAACTTATCTTTTTTATTGTATTCAGTTATACTTCCAATGAGCATCTAACGATTGGTGGTGGTATAAGGGGCAGTAAATTCTCTTTAACAGTCAAATATTTTTGTTGAAAAATATTTACTTAAAAAACAAGCTCAAATAATGATTTATCAATTATAAATTGCGTAGGCTTATTATACCTAGGTCATGTGCACATGGGTCTGTTAATTGCAAAATAATAAACTGATTTTGTATAAACCATACGTACCTCCTCGAAGAAAGACATACTGTGAAGGTGACGTCTCTTTGTGGATGAATATGATGGTCCTTTGCCAGTCACTGCTCATATAAAGTAAAAAAAATACGACATGTATACACCACGTGCATAGGCCAAGGTAAACAAAGATGTCCTCAACATGCGTCTACGCAAATATGGAGTTAGTACACATTATCACTTATCTTCAGCGCAGTACATGAAAAGGGGTTGTATTTTTTTATGACGTTAATTACCACACATCACTGCCATACATACTGAACATAAGCATTCTCCTTTCTCAGTTATTCATCTGTCTTGAGGTTACCATAAACAGTAAGCCACAAGTACCAGGCCCGTAGCCGAGGGGGCTTCGAGGGTTTCTAAAGAACCGCCCTTTTTGCTTTTCACTCTGGGTAAAATTTCTTCTAGGTACATAAAGTTTTCATGGTAAACGGTCCTCTTTTTCAGAAATAGACCCCTTTTGAAATTGCCGGCTATGGGCCTGAGTACATTCATTTCTCAATATCAAAATACTGCGATTATGATGATTATGATGATAGTAATGGTAACATGATATTAAGATAGCCAAACCGTGCTACTCACCTCGTAGAAACTTGGGCAGAAGAAGCACAGGCCAAGACCAATAAGGCGAGAACACTCGGCACCATTGTCTTTGGCAAAAGTTATAGTTATAACACTGGGGAATAAGGAACGGCAGGTTTTATACAACAGGATACGACCTTGATCCAAACCAATTGTCTAGACGAACATCCTGTTTTTGATGATTCGGTGTTTGTTACCGTTGATTGTGGTGAAGGAAAAGCTGATACCACCACTGAATAACCTTGAATTTATTAAAGGGATAACAGTTGTTACATTTGACAAAAGAGCAGATTATTCGGGGTAAACGACGATTTTTCCATTAAAACATGCACGAGTTAACCATATTTATGCAGAAGTGGTTATCTTATGTTGTACAGAGGTAGCTTTGATTGATAAAACCTTCTGTGTATATATTGAAGTTACTATTACAGCAGTTTATTACTTATAAAGGTAATGCTTTGGGCAAAGTTGGTTTTATTCATGTATTCATTTATTTTGTACAAAACTGTAGGTCGGCCATGTTAGACTATGTTTGTTTCCAGATTAGAAAGTCACGACACACGCGGCTTGGCGTTTGTGATAAGGCAAGCATACCAAACTGTTTATTTGTGGTCGCATGTTTGAAAGTAGCGACCACGACGTTTGTCAATAACTCCATTTATGTCTCCTCATTAAGAGTATCATCATTTGCCTACACTTGTAGGTGTGTGGAGACCTTTCCAAAGAATGTTTCAGTCAGGCGACTTTACCATAATACAAAAACAGACATAATTATTAAAAAATACATTATAATCACCATTTATCAAGCATTTAATTACTTTTGCAAGTACCGGTGTATGAAATGTTTTCAAATCATGCACTTAATTAGTCCAAAAGATATTATCTCTTAATGGGATTGGTATCTGCTACCCGAAACAGCAGCTAATAATTATCCGGTAGAGCAGGGTGGGGGTCGTTAGGGAAGATCTCACAAGGAAAGGCTTGCCCCCACTGGAACACGTTAGTCATGCCGCACCTGGCCATGTGGTTCCGTGAGTTTGGAAGGGGCTGACTAAATCTCTGACATGTCCCCTGCTGCCAGATATCGGGTTCCCACTGGTTCTCTGGGGCAAGATAGGCCTGGAATTGATCATTTTCAAAATAAACTTAAGACGACGACGACAAAACTAAATTTGATCCTATATACAATTATTCTATAGCGAAACTGATAAATGAGATGCACACACGATCAGATCGCTTTTGACTAAGAATACATTATTTTCCGTTACCTTATGTATGTCATTTCTAATTATTTTGTAGACGCTTGGGAGCACATGCAGTAGTCTCCAATGTTTTGCAATACATTCTGCCCACGCGTCTTCTTAGACTGCATTCCAACAGACTTAGATCGATCCGTCTGGATCGACCTCACTCCCTGGGGGTTCAGGCTAAATTGCTGTCAGTCGAGCGCGCACTTTAGTTAATTACCCCCTTACAGCTTTTAGTAGGCGGGGCAGACATTTAAGCCGGTTCAGCTGACACCAACCTAGTGAGACTCCCCAGGGGGATAGATCGATCTAAAAATCGGTAGGAATGCAGTCTTAGATTAACACTTCTGAAACATGCAATGTGTATGACATGGACTAGTCCTAATTTTCCTCTGCACCACATGCGTTCTCATCAATTTACCTTTAAATAAAACCAACCACCCTCAGTTCTCGAACAATCCATCATGGCGTCCAACATCCAGTAATGGTAGCCCCATTTGTTCCGCGGTGTGTACCCTACACCATCCCTTTCGGCTATCAAATTGTCGTACCGGCTGCAAAAAATGTGAAGTTTGTAGTATTTTTCTTTGTTTTATAATACAATTTCTATATGGTATTTTTTCTAAATAGTATTTATAACGTTTAGATGCGTGCATGTGCGGTTTTAATCCACATAGTATTTTTTTATCAAACTCTGGGTAATTTGTAATCAAAGCAGGAATATGCTCCACAACTTAAAAGTAGGATAGGATTTTAAATGAAACACCGATGCCACAATTTCCTGCTGAATGGCTCATCAGCTGTTAAATTGAAACCCGTGTCATTTAATGCTTGGTGATTACCTTAATGCAAACGATGACTATTATGAATGATGATATGACTGTGTTTATTGCCCGTCTATTCACACAAGGTCACCTTGTATACATACTAGATATATCTACAGCCAAAGTCATCAGGAGGGCACCAACGACCCCGTGAATATCGCTCGTGTGTGGTCCAAATCATAGGGGTTCCCTGGGCCGGGGTTCCCGGAGACCCTGCCGTCGCCCCTGGCAGGGTGCCTTGGCCCTGTTCGGCTCCGTACCAGTCCAGGTAGTTGTCCCCTTGGCTCCAGGCGCTGTACTTGCTCCCCCAGCGGCTCGTCCAGATGTGACGCAGTGGTATGTGACAGGGGTCATTGTTTCGGACACAGTCTGGCCGGCGAGCGTGATCTATACCTTTATAAAATGAGATAGTGTTGTTTTGTGTTTTCATCGAAAAGATGTATGAATTTAGTAAGGTTAATTATGACAATAGCATGTTGTGGTAAATAGTTTTATTAAAATATTAATTGCGAGGACTTCATAACGCTTTTATTTTGTTACTCTGAATGACTGTTTCAACCTTTGAATATAAAATACACAAAGCAGATCCGCTAACAAAATTATATAACAAAATGTAATATCGCATTCAAAACAGCGGGCTAACAAATCCGCAGATCAAATTTGGCGACCCACTCAAAAACTTGCCACTTAATTCCCGATTAGACACTGAATAATTCCCCGCGGGGATTACGTAACAAGCAATCAGGTGGGTCGGCCATATTTGATCCGCGGATCTGTTAGTTGGCTGTTCTGAATACGCTCTAAGGAGCCCTTCCTTTTTGATAAAAGTATATATCCAGATAAATCTGTGTCAATAATGTAGTTACTCATACAAAGTAAACAGCTTTACGAAGATAAAAACTCCCAAATTCTTTACCTCCTCTCAAGAAGACATACTCCGACGGCGTAGTATTTCTGTGGATGAAGATAATGGTTCTTTTCCAATCGCTGCAAATCGAAATCTTGATCAAGAGACATGTACGTAATTTGAAACATCTTGGTTACAGTTTCGATCATTAACTACCTCTTCCCCCTTTTATATATATATATAGATACCCTCCCGCCATGCCCCCCTTTCTTTTCAGTAAGTTTCGCTATTTTTCAATCAATATGTAGACATGTAAAGCAGTAACTCGAATTTAGGTCTGTTGATTACTTTAAAATTTAAATTTTGGTTTTGCTGAAAATATAACATTTATGTGTGATGTAATTTATTCGGATTCTATAAAGTGAGACCGAGCAAACTGATATGACATCGACTGATAAAACTTGACCCTATGGCTTTAAACGTACAGTAATGGTATAATATTAAGGCTTTACCTCTGTGACACCCTTGTAAAGAAGGTAAATTTACCTCAAATATTGACATGAATATCCGTGTTGGGCATTATATGGCGCCGTTCGAAAAAGGTATTTATTTTAACGTGACGACTCAGTCGCATTGTCAGCCAGCCATTTGAACATTCTGCCATACTACTGAATAATGATAACCACACACACACACACACACACACACACACACACACACGTAATCGTACTGCAACAGTACTCACCTCTCCGCCTCCACCAGATGACCAGCTAAGACGCTGTACAGGACCAACAGTGGACACACAGGCAGCAACATTGTGTCGAACGTCCAACTATTTAGAGAGCTTACCAACAGTGACTCCCCTAACAGGATCTAACTGCTGTACTTCTAGTGTGGGCTTCATTCACTATTTTATTACCCCGATTTTTGGGTTGTGTTAGTACATAGCAATAAATGTTATAGTAAAATAAACTGAAATTTCGTTGCTCAAATCAAGTGATTGTATTTGGTTCTGGAAGGCACGATAGTGAAACATGATAGAGCTCGGTAAAACCGTAGCATAACATTTAACCCAATAAAACAAATAATAGCGGTATGATTGCCAAATAATTATATCAGTCGTTATGTTTTTATTCAGATAATGGGGCAGAAAATTGTTGAAAACAGATGCCGAATACCATATGTCAGTCACGACGTCTGCACAGATGTTACAAATATGCGTCTGTCGCCCTTTCTCGAGCTACTTTAGTCTACTTTTTTTTTTTTTTTTGTCGTCTCTGAATTATGAATAATGTTGCACAATACATCTATATGTATGCAATGCAGTTTAATGAAGATATCAAGGCCTTTTTGGTGGGTGACAAACGCAATACAAACTTGATTTTCGAATACTGTTCATTATTACCGCATATCATTATTATCATTCACCATGTTATATCGACTTTATAAAAATAACCAACTAAATCAAAATATGAAAAAGCTGTGTAAAATAAAGGCGCTTATCACAACTACTAATATGAAATAAGGCCTGACTCCTGTATTCGAGTTAGTCGCATACACCAGTTTAGTCCCCCAAGCCGTCTTTATTTTTCTTATCGGTGGGACCGTTCGTCCATAGGCTTTATTAAAACACCTTTCCCTCATTATTTCATGCTTATGCTTGTTACATTTTCTCTCCAGCTCTCTGTCCGATGCGTTCTCTCCTTTTACTCTCTTTAAACACGCGTCTCTTTCCCGTGGATTTAAACCTTGGCACTTGGTGAAGTCAAAATCTATTGACGTCACTTCCTGTGGAATTCCGTCACCGCCGTTGCAGTAGCTGGTTGTGCACGAGACCACACAAGATTTTGATTGGCCGTTTGTGTTGCAGAAATTCCCACGCGAGAGGTCCTCACAATTGCGTGACACTGACACAACTTTCCCTGTGTAAGAAAGAATGAATTAAGATTTACTAGTGAGTTGCTTAGGGAAAAATATGTATGTTGTGGTGGGGTTAGATTACGGGAGCCAATGGGTTCAAATTGCTCTGTAAGACTGAAAGGGAAACGCCCCCGTCTGAGGCCTAAAATTAATTTTTAAAAATATCAATTTCTTGTCATTTGCAATCATTTTCAATAATCAAAGCATGTTTCAACACCTACCTCTGATGAATTCAACAGAAGACGTACAATACTGCAACTCACAGGGCACAGTGCTGATGCCTTTGAACAGCCCGGGTCTATCTACACACGCCGTGTCCTCGTCCGACCGCGTGTAGCTACAGTGATAACATGTCTTAGGGCGCCGATGCTTCTTGGTACTAGTAGTGAGAGTCGTTGTGATCGCTGTACTATTGTCTGGTATATCGGTGACACTGTTATTTCCTACCGATGCAAAAAGAGTATTATTATAATGTAGACACTGCATTATCAACAACGAAAACTATCTTGTTCGTAATAAATGTGTTCAAACCTAAATCAGGCCTTGGAAGACGCTTTTAAAGTTCAATTTTCATTTAGTTAATCGGACAATTGGTCCGTCAAAGATCATTTAATCAACAGGTGCAGTAAAAAAAATACCTCACCATTATCTGATGCTACCAATGCGGAGAACAACGCCAGAGTGGTCACTGCCAGTGTGAAATACACTGACGTCATTTCTGCTCGCATTCCCTCTGAATCTTAATGAGAGTCACTTTACCAAATATACAATCATGTCACATAGGCAGGAATGTGTCAGTTTGACCCAAGTTCAACCTCCTTTAGAGTTTTTTAACTTTGTGACCTCAGCTCTTCCTGCTCACTGTGACTCGTCATTCGGACACGCCTAAGTGTGAAAATACCTGACCGTGTGCTGATGCTTAGACCACATCACCTAAGTCACAACTATCCATTAACATTAAAGCACGCAAAACCAATCACTACAACATAAATACCTTTGGGCGTGGTTTACCCGCCACCTGTGCTTCTAGATGATCGTATATTGGCATCAGCTGATGGCATGCGCACAGATGTTTGTTATTTCTCTTCATTCGTGACACCGTGGGTACAATTACCTTGTGCATAGTGATCAAAGTATGGTGTTTATGCACGGCATTGTGACTAACATTCCATCGAGGCTCAAACCACAAAAGAATTTATCTCCCAGTCGACATACAATATTTCACAAAATTTGCACCATTAAAAAAACGTGTTCGGATAACTGATACCGTCTGCGTATCTTGAATTAACCAACATTTTGAATCGTAACTCAGATGATTCTCATTTACCATGATCCTCTGAGCTGCAAAACACAGCACTATCCACTTTGCACATTAATTATAATTTGAATATTGACAAGCAAATTTTCAAATTTCTTGTTGTAAACAAATTTTATTCATATGTGATCTCAGTTTACAAACTTCGAATAACACATGGTCTAATGATATTCACAATCAAATCACTTGCAAATCATAGCATCAACGGTTATTTACCGATTATCATTTTTCTTGAGGTGCCTAAAATTGTATTTCCTCTTTGGGACGTAGGCATTTGTTTCTTGCAACTTCATAGCAGTCTTTTTTTTCATGTTGATATTCAGTGTAAAATTAATTCACAAATGAGCAGTAAAATCGCCATTTATAGTTACATGATGATAAAGATATTAATCGACGTATCTTTATTAGTTCAGTTTGCAAATATTCGACAGAATTTAGTGATTCAAAACCATCAAGCAGTACATCATTGTAACGAAAACAGCGAAATAAGAGAAGGCCCCGTATTGTTTTGACGAACCGCTTTTCGTTTGACTGTCGTTCTGGCCCCGTCCAAGTGCCTTTCGTCCTCCGGGAGCAGTTTCCTTGGAATTGCTTTTTCTGTCTTTTTCGGGCATTTCCTTTTGCGGATTCCGTGGACCAGGGAGAGATCTATTAGATTCAGGCGAGTCCTTCGGATAAGCAGAGTTTCCATGACGATCCTCTGAAGCGGAAACGTCACGTGACTTGTGCTGTTGACGTTTGGAGTGTTGGTTGACTTGCTGGCCGTTCTCAGAAGGGTACCCTCCTATGTAACCAGCCTCGGATTTGGCGCTACTTGGGGCAGCAGGCTGGTCCTCGGTGATTGTATTATCGGGGCGCGGGTTGACAACAACACTCTTTGATTGCTCAATCTTGGTGTCAGCACTCGTGCTTTCGGCACCCGGAAACATGTCCTTGCCAGGTGCCCGGATGCCGTGGTTACAGAAGCTGTTGAAGCACGTGGTATAACACGTCATGTGGGGGCCCCTCCAGTCCTTCACGCACTTGTTGCCGAAGTCCACATTTTCACAGGACCTTGAGATGGACATGGTCTGATAGTCGTCAGGACCCAGAGTGTTTGGGGCATCTAGAAACATGGTAAATGATGGCATTCTTTCTCTGACAGAAAGAGATGTGAAAGCAACGATTGACAACCATGCCAGTGAATAAATTCAGTTTCGGACGTACCATTACATTAACATTTCGCTTCTTTTACCAAACACTAATACATGCACTTACAATAATTTATCTACTGCATCCCTCTTAAAGTCATATTGTTATTTTTCCCTTTTGAAAACTAACCTATTAAAGTCCAATGTCAATTATACCGAAAAAGTTAATTTTTGTCCTACACGTGTCCGAAAACTTTTTTTGTAATATAATCATATGAATATAGAACCATGTATACTTACATGAGGCCCCTGGTTTTAGCATATAGCGGGCGGAGACTGTGCAGTGTTTCCTGGTACAGTTCACCTGGGATCCCAGCTGCGGATACCGGATACACGACTGATCCGGATACTGGCCCGAACACACGTAGCACATCTTCCACGACCAACCTGGTAAATCAAATGTACATGTTGTGACTTAATAAACCCAGCTTTTTTTATAATAAGTATCACTAAGCAATATAATACAGTACAACAGGTGGTTTCACAAAATCTCAAACCAGCAAATTTGAACTACTGAGGATGCCCCTTTGCAACGTAGAGGTTATTCGCAATTTAATTATAATACCAGTACAACTTCGTAGTGACGTATCCACTGTAATGGCTTTTTCCTGGTGTTTGAGGTTTTCATCTGAACAGAGACGGCGTGTTACAAGGTATAGCAGCACTGACATTTTTTTTTTAATTTTATTTCAGTTTTTATACCCATTACTTATGTTGTTAATGTTAGAACAAATACTCCCTTGAGGCAAAAAATCGAATCATTTAAACAGTTGACACGCGTACAACTCATTCATAGAACACTTAGAAAGCGACGTCGATTCAAACTAAATACGTGCGAATTGCATATGCAGCTGTCTACGTTCAAAGTAATAAGACGCAAAGTAATAAGTACATGTACAGTTAAAGCCACGTATTTGATAGAGTACTTAATGATTAAACTGCTAGTTATCGGAATAGTTCATCCCCTAGTCTCTTCATGCATCTTGGCACTTTTTCATAATTCAGCATTTTACTGAAGCACTCCTCAAGTAAAGTATGGAATATGACTTCCAAACACACCACCAATACTAGTCGGTACATATTCATTATAAACAGAAGGAAACTCCCTGTAGTAAGCAATAAAAAAACAACATTGCAATCACTGAAATCATCAACAACATGTGTTTTTAACCCATTGCTTATTTATCCAATCGCTTTGCCATAAATCATCCCAATGCAACATATATTGTACAATCTACCTACCCAGTTTCGCACAAACCAACAATATCAAAAACACACGAACATCCATATTGAAAACGGCTGTAAAGTATCGTCCTCACTCCTTGATTAAATCAACCATTTCATACACCAGTGACGTTGTGTTGATACGAATGTTTTTAGGGCGGGGTTTGGCATAAAAACTGTCTCGGAATTCCCGGCCACGCCCGTTTGGAATAAACATGAAAGTGACAGCTGGGGAGGCCTCGCGTGACTCGAACGAGAGACACGTGTTTTGCGTCTTCCTTCTGCAGGAGACATTTGACCTAAGCAACACGTGTGCCCTATGCACGACGGTTATTTGGTTCTTAAAGTGATTAATGATTATCTTATGTTGATAATTGTTGCATGCTTGATAATCAAATTAAATTCTATAAGTTGCACTACACTGAATGGAAGCGTGCTATAAACATAATTTCTCGTAAAGTTTATTTATTCATTTATTGCCAAATTAAATTTGTTAGTTAGTTAGTAAGTAAGTTAGTTACAAAAAAGCAACCTGTTGTACATGTATTTGCATCAACATCAACATAAAAAAATTGAGACCGCAGTGTCACTATGTTATTCAAGAATGCAACAAAGACTAATCACAACAAGCCCAATTGTGGCTGTCACTCATGCTCAACTAGCGCATTTGGAGAAAAAATCGTGTAACTAGATTGTACTTACAGCTTCATGATTTGAAATAAAAAGAGTACAAGTGATATGTAAGTCTTATTCTATTCGTAAGCGATTATATAATAAATGAAAAAGAAAATATCTAGCGTATGTTGTCTATTTGCGCCTTTCTTTGTTTTATATCTTAACATTTAAAAAACCCTATCTCATGAAAATAAAATATATATCCCAATAAAGCAATAATAGAATTCAATTTCTTAAATAAACTTATTGATTATACTTAAACACTAGTATGTCTTCTCACAGGCTTTTAGACATAAATTCCAAAGGGCGAGAAGGATCTTCTAAAGAGATGAGCGTTTTTACCCCCTTTTTTCACCTGGGATAGAATCCAAAACACGTTTTGATCCAGAGAGGACTTTTTCGACCATAAAGACAGTTACTGATTCCATATCCAACTCGACCCTTTGCTAACTGGCCTAACTCATTATAAAATGTGAGAATGACTGTTAAGGAAAAATCATTCTCATATATTTATTATTATACCAAATAATTATCTTATAACCTACCGGTAGGTTGCTGAAAGTAATTCAACGCCTTTCAATTGCTTTAATTCATGCACGGCTCACTTATATATAATCCAAGTTGTAGGATTTAATGAAAATTTTTATCATTTATTAGCGTATCCACCTGCATCTATACATAGTGAAGATAAGTATGTTAATTGGATGCTAATGCAGAGACGCTTATCAACATTTGCACGTGAAAGTGATGAATCTGGCTTAATGTGACACGTTTAACCTCTCTGTTCCACATCAATGGTCACAGTTTTTTTGGGGAGAGACTTCTGGAATTGCGCGTTTTATACACCCCTTGTAAACTATTGTGAACTATTCAAAATACAGCATCATTTAAAAGCAGGAAGTTGTGACTCCCAAAAAAATTTTTAAAAAAACGGGTTATCAAATGTCTATTTGGCTTTCCTAAAAATTGTATGGTAAACTGTCTTCCTCCGCCCCCTAAAAATTTAAAGAACTCTTTTCCTACAGGTGGAGGACTCCCCAATGGATCTCCGCAATGTTGTTGTGTCTGCTCTCCTTGTCTTTGCTGTAGTTCTACGTCAACATGGAGCGGAAGGTTGGTGCTTTTTTGACATCTCAATTGTTATTTTCTTTCATTTTTATTATTTTTCGAGTTGAGTACTTGTTTTTCATCCCAAATGGTGACGCCATGTTAAAACAGCCATGCTCCGCTATCATTTAGTCGACGCCTACCGAATGATAGACATGTGTATTTTCGCTCAGCAAAGCACTACCGGAGAACTTGTATAACTACCTTACATATATATATAAGATATACCCATAATAACTGAAAATGCGTTTAATACATAAGTGTATGAAAATCTATATAACAACTAACATATGCAGCGTCCTCCTTTCTCTCAGTTGAGGTGAATGGGACGTTTGTTTAGCCACCTGTGTTTGGTTGAAGTCAGTTGCATGTCGACACGCATCTTCTTCACTACGCTGAATGTATCTAGCACAGGTGAAACCATACTAAATAGCTGGTATATACAGGGTTTTGAGCGGGGAGAGACACATTTATTTATTTATTTATTTATTTATTTATTTGATTTCTGGCTCATTCCAGAGTCAGTTTGGTTTATATTCGCATTTTCTTTGCGCTAATTTGTTCATTAAGTTTTTAAGTTTAATTCATCTCTCCTTCTCTCTCTCTCTCTCTCTCTCTCTGGCGACACATCTTCCATTCTGTGTACGAGCACACGGAGATTCTGCCCTGACAGTTACTGCTTCCAAAGTGCTTTTTGAATCACTCATATCATCTCCTTAAAAATTCAATTTTAAATTAAGAACTAAAACTACTTTGAATCCTATCTTTAATTCTTCCAGCGTCTCAGATGTGCTATGTGTGTTCCTACACGATGTCTGGGGACCCTAGCCGGGACTATGAGTGTGTGAATGACCCGGCTAATGTGAAGACAGGGTCGGTGAAGATAATGTGTGATAAGTGGTGCACGGTACACAAAGTCACACAGCGAGGTGAGGTGTTTGGAAGCTTTGGTATTTTGACTATCTGTTTTAGAGAGAACTTCTATAAACAACATGATTAGCTGATTGAAGGGAAAGGGTCGTGCACCAGTTTTTGCGTTTTTTCTTTTTTTTTTTTTTTTTTTTTTTTTTGTCGCTAATCCTTATGTGCTAGCCTCTCCTTTCACACAATGTCTTTAAATTTTTTAATTAATGAGCTTGTTTCGGATAAAGAAATTATACTGTTTGTCTTGTGGTACAGATGGAAATGTTTTAGTTTTTCAATAGTTCTCCTGTTTCATGCAAACGTTCATCCCCTTATCTGAAATGATGTCAAGTTGTCAATTTCCCTGGTACAGTTTGATAAAAAAAAATCTGCTTCTGCGTGTATAACAATTGATCATGTTAAAATCTCTTGTCTGTTTACTATTTCTTGAGTATATACAGTTTGCGCTATAGTATCCTTATCTTGTCTGGTAGCATAACAATTTTATCACAGAAGTAAATGCGAGATGCCCCTTATGATTTTTTTCATGTAGTTGATATTTTGATTCTTTGGGAAAACTTAAATTCCGAATGTTTTCATTGCGAAGTCATTTCCGTTCGTGTTTCAATACTCTTTCTAGCCTTCTTAAATGAATAATACTACCGAATTTTTGTAACGTTTCATCAATATTACAGGTTGTTTAAACGGTAACTTGGCATAATGAAGTAATACTGAATTTTACTGGTTTTAAGATACCAATTTATTAATATTGCATGTTGTTAAAATGGTTACTCGGTATAATGAATTAACACTGAATGTTATTAACTCACCTGTTAATAATGCTTTATTGGTATTGCATGTTGTTTGATTGGTAACTGGGCATATTGAGAATTAACTCGGTGCGGTACACTAACACGTTGCTGTTACAGGATCTGGGAAGATCTGGTCTTTCTCCAGACAGTGCGAGGACCATCTTAAGGAACAATGCGTCCCTGGGCCATACTATGAATACACCAGATCGTGTGACACCGACCTCTGCAACTCTGAGAACGGGGAGACTATTAAATGCAGTGACGTCGGACCTACTACTACTACTACTACTGGTGGTGGTGGTGGTGGTGGTGGAATTAACTCCGTCTCCATTGCGCTCCTCGTTCTTACAACTTTGCTTACTGTTCTCGGTGCTTTGGTGGTTTAGAAACGCCTTAGTGATTGTTTTGCCATGTTTATTGTTAAATAATCATAAAAATGTTAGTCAAATGTGATATTTTCTATAATCTCTATTGAGCAACCGACTTTCCTTTACAAAGACTCATTTAGACTAAGACCATCTGAGAACTTTTTAATTGTAGTTTTTCAAAGACTAAGATCTGTACCAGGATGTGTGTCTGGCCAACCAACCTGCTATATACAACAAATCTAATAATGAATAATATATAATATTTGCTTTGGGGCATCCAACGCGTAATTTGAAAACGGTTAAAGACCCATTGTTGCGATGCACATCTTCACTGACTGCATAAAATGCTTTGAAAATATGTGAATTTGAATATTTACATCTATTTTGAGAATGATTTATTTTTTGGTCCTGGTATTGCATGCTTTTTAAAAATTCAATTAAACAGTTTCATTAATACTGGGTTGATTTTGTTGATTTTCGAACTATTTGGGTCGAACTGATTGTATGTGGTAGTTGAATTGTTTTCAAATGACGATGAAAACACATATATACATCGCGTCTGGTTAGCATCTAATCATGCTCTCCTAAACACATGCCTGAAAAAAAGTGATATTACATTGTATTGCTGTCACCGCGTTTTACACGCATTTCGATTAGGTTTATCATTTCACAAATACAAATCTCAATTAAGTTCCTACTTTCTATAATATGAACAGAGTTAAATTATTTAACGTTATAACAACATATAAAAACGGACACATGCCGATGCAAATTGCGAATGCAAAGACCAACCAGATTGCCTTGTTGTTAGAGTGTCCTCCTCCTAAACTGGATATGCTATCTCCCTGCTTGGTACTCGGCACTTAAGTGTTGGAGCAGGGGTAAAGTTCCTGGTAGTGAAGGATGTTGTTCCTATGCTAGCTTCCAGCGCCGCATACGTCAGCTGGGCTGGATCCCTCCCAGGGAGGCGAGAATGTATACACCCATCTGGTACCAGGGCCAAAACTAACCAGACGTATAATGTAGACCGCACTTAGGCGCATTTGGAGAGCGGTATCTGACAACTGAACTTTACTTTTACTTTCCTTTATTTTCAAATTGTCATCGCCTGTATATACGTCCTGTCTTTGCATGTCTTTTATTGCTATGGCAGTCGTGTGCCTCTGGTGACGTGTCTTTGTTATTTAGGAAAATATAAAACGGGGTCTTATATAATGCTGAAACAATTAACACTATCTCATTATGGCGAATAGTTCCGTATAATAAAAAAACAATGCCGTCAGGAAGCAGTGGTGTACGTAGCATATAACAAGGTGAACGGCTTAACAGTGCTATAGTAACAGTTTAATAACATGCATGCAATAACATTTTAAGTTTTTCCACCTAGAACCCTTCATAAATTGTGATTGTATATTTTGCTAGATACCGGTAAAATCTGGTCCTTCTCTAGAGGTTGCGAGGAGTACAAACAGACCCAGTGCATAGACTCCGCCTACACCGAGTGCTCAGAGTCATGCAACGGCGATCTCTGTAACAGCCTTGACTACGGTACTCCACCTATCGGCGGGACGGACAATGAAGATCCTGCGCAAGCGCAAGACTACGTTTCCACGACAACGGAGACAACAACGCGCACAACTCTGAATTGGATCAAAGTTACAAATGCCAATATCATTCACGGTTCTCATAATGATAATCGACGCAGGATCACGAATAGTGGATCGAAATTTAGTTTATCTTGTTTTATCTTTATTATCTCGTTGCTTGCGGGACTGTCGAAAACGTACGTGTGACGAAACACTGGGGTGGGGCTAGCATTAGTTAGGGCCTACATGATAGCTGCTACAGGGACATAATTTATATCCAGAAACCCCAAGCCGTCGTAGACCGTTGGGTATTATTTTCTGAGCCACGCATTCAAGCAGCGTCTTTGTTTTATCTTCCCTATTTAATATTATAAAGCACGTCATTCGTGTTCACTTATCGCGTAGGGTTAAATAAGGCTACTTTGATGTATTGTATACGTTTTTTATATTGTATATGTTTATATTCTTTCTATAGGCCCTATAATTATTTAAAAGTACAACTATAAAGAATTTATCTTCAGCTCTATATCTAAAACAATTAAAGGTGAGGAACAATTAAGTTATCCAGTAGCGGTTCTATTTTACCAAACGTAACTACATGTAGGCTTACTTGTGGCCTATGTTACAAGTAGGCCTACTTCTAATTGGTCCTAATAAAACTTCCAGTATTATCGCTTTTGAAATACCTGTTATTTTCATAAATAAATAATATTTATAACATATTTTTTCTGTTTTCATTCCAAACCATTCGTCTTTTCAACAAATATTTCAAGTGGGCCAAAAAGACAAGCATCTTTTATTGCTGTCCAGACAACTAGGCCTAGGCGTAGCTACTTATTACTGTTAAAAGTTGTGTTTTCATAAATCGTTTCAAATCGCTTTCAATGACACCGCGTTCGTGTTGTTAGGGAAAATAAGTGTATCATATCTCATCAGTGTATCGTATCAATGAACCATCAGTGTTCATAGCTGATAACAAGTAGGCCTATGTTAACTGTTCGAGAGCGGATTAAGCATTATCAAAACAAACCAGATAACCACCACTCTGATACTGTTCACGTCAATCTGCAGATTTGAACTCACTCAAAGTCACGCAGGTCATGGCCGTTACACGTTTTGAACATTCCAAACGAAAAATGATTTGTGGTATTTGACAAAGAGAAATGATGACAACGACTTTGTCGAAGATAACATACATGTGCATTTGCAGCATTAACTTACGAACGCAGTTTAGAGTTTTATCCCCGGCATAAAGATTTCGTTGTATTATTTTTTATTCATGGCAACAGGCACACAATACATGATACAGAACAGAAAAGTACATCACTTACAACACGGAAGACGATACACGCGCATGTGTGAATTTGTCTCTCTGAACTGTTGTGTGTATGTGAGAGAGAGAGAGAGAGAGAATGGTCTTATCTCTATGATACCTGGTTTACAATCCAACCGTTATCAACATTCAATAATGCGCAATATTGATAATATTATCATTTGTAGAAATCTTAATCAAATACAGCCGTGGGATGACATGAAAGGAACGGTAGTGTTCATTACAGTTTCAGCATCACTGCGTTCTCTGCACTTTTTAATATTTTCAGTGATGCCCCAGTACACTTGACGTAGGACAATATTATGCCGTAGACGCATGCATCTTATTACCCTATGTTTCTTTTTATTACCATTACGAAAATATGTCAAATCTGCATAGGACATATAGTTAATTGTATATATAAATCCTTCTTGAAAATACTTCTTCAATTGTAATGCACAAGTTATCAGATTCAGATTTTTCCCGTTCAAGACTAAAAAGTAAGAAAAGGACGTACATTTCACAAATCATTCCATGCCCCAGCCTCAGCACTAGGATAATTAAGATAATTATCCAATGTGAACAGAGTTTCCAATGACGTCATGCACGTAAGGAATATAATGCTGAGGCCGCTGTGCACCAAGTCAGCTTACTACAGTCATGGCACAGATCTTGCACGTTGTCAGCCTGGCTCTTATTGTGCTGGTGGCGTATAGCATATACGCCAGTGGTAAGTTAGGCATTTTATTGTTACGGTAATTGCTGTTTCTGTTTAAGTACTTAAGTCATGTCAAGTCAGTATTTGTTGGTAGAGATCCTGGATTAAATGACAGTAAAATAGACCATTATAATTCTTAAAAATTAATTCATCTGGGAAAATATACACCAATACTGCCACTTTGTCAAGACACACTTATTCCAATTTGCCCCTTAGCGTTGGAGTGTTACCATTGCTCATATAACCAAGCAAATGGGACAGCTGAAGACTATGCCTGTGTGAACGACACAGACAACGTGAAGACTGGTCAGGTAAAAATAAACTGCCAGCCAAGCGAAGTTTGCAAAATCCACCAAATAGCATTATACGGTAAGTGACAATAACAACTTACTCACTGTGAAAAAAGTAAAGCGCTTTTTTTTTTGTTTGGTTGGTTTTTATTTATTCACTGTACTTACCAATTCATACGAAATTTAAGATATATTCGTATCTATCTAAAAAGTTATTACAGCCTGAAGGTCACTTTTTTGTATCAAGTGGCCAATTGGCATCAGCTGACATCATTGTACATGTCTTGAATTCCTGTGTTTATTTACCGCCTTTAACTTTATCATACAATACAATCCTTAATCTCCTGTTATATTTTTTATTTGGGCTGTGGTAAATGGACCCCGATGGTCTTTGTTAAGTCTTTTTATATCAAGCTTTATTGCCTTACATTCTATTCAAATAAGGGGGCAGTTGATGTTGGCCTTTTCTTATCTTTTAATTTGAAAAATGTATGTACGGCTGATATCTTGGGTTATGGAGGAAGTACCTCATATGTATAGACAGAGTTTGTTAAATGATAGACTCCCGGCCAATGTTCAATGTCGTGACAGGTCTAATGGGTCCATAACTCCCGTAATAGGGTCTAACTTCATGTGATTTTTTGACATTGAAAACCTATAGTCAGAATTAAGAAATCACTGTGTAGGCACTTTTCTATAAATGTTATGCATGTACAGCACGTTATATTTACAACGCGCATGTATGCCTATTCTAGAGAAAATAAATATTTGATAAATGAGATATAGGCATAAACCAGTAACAATTGACGCCGTACATAAGGCATTTCTGGTGAACTTGCTAAATAGCTGTTATCTCTGTGAAGCATTAAAGATGATAATAAAATGTTATATCATGATAAAATAATTAATGTGTAACACCTTTATGTCTGTCTATCGTTTAGGTTCAGGCGAAATCACCTCTTACTTCCGGGAGTGCGGACAGTACGAGGAAACCCAATGTCGCCAAGGTGGTAGTGGCAAAAGAGACTGCGTGTTTTCATGCAATATGACTCTTTGCAACAACCGATCAACTCCAATACCTGACCCCAACGGCACGTGGCCGTCTACAGTCGGACCGTCGACCACTGTCCTAACCACTTTACCGTCGGGAAATATCACCACCACTACCTCTGAGCCCAGTGGATCACAGTCCCTTTCCGTGACGTCTCTGGCAGCGATGATTTTCTCGTTTTTCATATGCTGCGTTCTTTTTATATAAAAATTGGAATTAACAATTAAATCCAAAGAATGCACATGGGTTTCTGGGTAGAGGGAAAATTTCTCATCAAATGAAATATGACGTTCAACTTATGACTGCATTTTATTTCTCGCAGGAAGTGCCGTCTACAACGGAAATGACGTCACAGAAAACGAAGCTGAATATGACTTTTCTTTATGATGGTTTGATATGGTTTCTACCTCCTCAGCAAATCACTTGAAGTAATTGCTATACCTCCATTCTAACTAGGAAATTATTCTTCAAAGTAGTTTTTTAGATGCGAAAAATAGAAAACTAAAAACCTATTGACTACAGTATATTTTTTTAATTCTTAACATTCGTACTGCTTACGGTATACATACAATAAATATTGAATTCATGTATGATTTGTTGAAATTAAAAATATATGTATGTTGCTTTGAGTGGTAGCGTTAGATAGCGATGCTCTTGTACTGTATATCACACAAACACATGTTCGATTATCGCCCTAAATGTCACAATTGATAAATATCTCAACACTTGTCTGACTTCGACATGTCCATAGTCCACAAACAATTTATCTGTTATGAAGCATTACACCCTGTGTCCATCAATGATGGCAATGTGACTGTGATGCAACCTTACCTTAGCTGAAGGTTTATCAAATCATTGCTAGGCAGCTGACAGTGAAAATAATTTAATCTTGCAAAGATCAAAATTCGTTTGCAATGAATTATTATGCCTATAATTAAATGGCCGAGGCAATACCCGTGCTATTTACAAAGTAAGAAAACGATTGTGTACTCGTACATTTAATTCTTCACTGTTAAAAAAAATTAAAATTGAGAATCAGATAGATTGTGGTCTTCTTTGCATTCTTATACAGTTTGATTATTTGTTATGCTTCCTTAAACAAGCTTTCTCTTAATGGATAGTTTAAAGTCAACATAACCAATAAAATCCAATATATGTACGCGAAATCAAAAAGGTGTGAAAATAGGAAGTGCACTTTGAACGAAAAGAAACGCTGCGAGATAGAGTTGTACTTTCAAAACTGGCATCCAGACCCAGTATTGCCACAAATATTAGTCTTTTAGTAAGCAGTGTTATTAAAACCGAATAAAAGGATCCAGAATTCATCCTAAATTTATTGAATATGGGCTCATGCAGCGGCATATGCAGGGTGCGTATCGCAACAATTTTAGATCACTTGATTAGATAAAATGTATGTAAAATCATCACATGATTCACAGTTCCCTCACTTCGTTGTTCAACCTTACATTTCAAATATGAAGCTGCTGGTCGTTCTTGGATGTGTTAGTCTGCTGTTTTCTTTTGCAATATTTAAAAATGCAGAAAGTAAGTTGAATAGAAAGATTGAAACGGAATATTCATAGAAACGTGATAGATTTCCATAACATTGTCAATTTCATTTCAGTAATGTTTCAATTACGTTAAGTTCAATACGATTTCAATGCTTGCTAGGTGAGTATTTTTCTAGCTACTTTTACATACATATATGTACTTATCGGGCACAAACTATATATTTCAACCATTTGCCTGTGCCTTTAGCCAGTACTATTTCTTAATTACCAGCTTGATTACTCGTTTGTTTGACAGTTCGTTTCTTTCCGATGCTTATATTCGTGTTTTTGTTATCTATCACCAGGTACACCCTTGAAGTGTTATGCATGTTCCTATCACCGGGACAACTCCACCCGGCCCGAGGACTACTACTGTATTAACGACACGGAGAAGGTGGACACGGGGGAGAAAATAGTCACGTGCAGGGAGGGAGAATGGTGTAATACGCACCAAATAATTATAACAGGTACGAGACATACACACACTTTCTTTTTTGTTTCTGTTTTTGTGGCATGATAATTAAGTTCAATATATAGATAGTATTTATATATCTTTTGGCAGCCAAATTTAAAAGCTTTTTGTTTCATTTATTATCTGATCTTATAAATTTATTGACTTTTTTTCTACTCTTTTGAAGCATTTCACTTCAAAACTGATGTTTCTTTCAGGAACAATGAACATCACCTCCTACTACAGAGGCTGCGGAAAGGACAAGACTGACTTTTGCACAGACGGAGCGGCCGGACATCGGGATTGTGTGCGGGCCTGTGACACGTCACTTTGCAACAATAAGACCACGCCCATCGTCGATCCAGGCAGCACAACCACGGTCACAACTACAGCCGGCACCTCTACCACACCATCCGGGGCGTCCACTTTCCGCTTAACTGCAGGGGCCACTGGTATCTTTACAGTGACAGCGTCTTTGGGACTTTTTGTGAAATGGTTCATGTGACAGTGAAATCTCAGTAGCTCCTGCGTAAAAACAACCAAGTTTTTCACATATTTTTTATCTGGAATCAAGGATTGGCACTCGAGAATGTGATGATTGTTGCCATGCTTAAAATCTGTAAATGATTTCCAATTAGAATATTCGACCTGAAAAGAAGAGACTTGCAACTTGCCACCGTGACAAAGCACAAATAAATGCTGTTTGCAACTGTATTTAATCTACCAAAAGTTGATGAATTGCATATCGCTCACTATCTGTATTCTCAATTATTTCAGCTAATAATCGTGTTTGTTTCATGTGATAGATATCAGTGTTGTTTTCTTAGACGCGGTAAGTTGAAATAAAATAAACAATAAATGTAAGTTAAACAGGACCCGCACGGAACTTAACACAAACTTTTAGGAAAATGTTAGTGCACCTAGGTACTTCTGTAGGTTTTAATAAGGATGGGAGGGGTCTTGTACGTTCATGATCATCATGAAGTGATAGTATGGGAGAAATACAACTAAGCTTGGAGTCATTGGTATTTTGGTAATGAAAGCTGGATTGATTAATTCCCACTGATTTTATGTACCACTTCCACACTCCCAGCAGCAACTTTCGATATGCCAATGAAATGCACATTGATAAAGTTTTTTGTCTTTTCGTCCTATTGTTTTAACCATTAAAAATTCTTTTCTTCGGTTGCTTTTTCTTTAAATATAACTTAATAAAGGTTCACTTGTTCGTCCCTGCTTTCGAGAGGATGTTTTGAAATAATTATTCATTTACTTATATCTCAAACGGGTTTTATTTTCCCATTACACTTTAAGGTTTACCAGTTACAGATTCAGACACTTAGTTCAGCTCATTGATTTTCAAACACAGACACTGCCTGTTAAGTAAGTCTGTAAAAGTGACAAAAATGAAAGGAAAAATAAATTAATCGCTTCTCTAAGGGCTTACGATATTATAGTGTACAGTTGGACACAGTCCCATATGAGAAATAAAACAAATCTTGTTTCTATCGTCACGGGGCTAGGCACGCCATTAACCTAATTTTTCATCCTTTTTATCTCCTTTACGTCCCGTTTCTCTCACAGCATCTTCATTACCGGTTTCCCCAAATGACCTACACTGCGATTATTTCTACGCGATATCCGCCATGTTGCGTTTGCTGCACAGATTTAGTCTCAGGGACTTGTTTCAGTTGAGGTTAGTCAGTTTATTTTCCGTTCATTTCTTTTACAACAAAGTTGTGTGTGCATTACTAAGCTATCGTGCATTTCTAGGCCCTCAGAGTTATGACCAAGTGATGAAGTAATTTTTAAAGCAGTGTATACTGCATTATCTATGATAGTGCATATAACTTCAACAGAGGGGAGTGTATCAAGAACAAATCGTCGCGTGCAAGAATAGCAGGCGTTGAAGAGCATCCTCATCATCCAACATTATCTTGATATTTAGGCTAGAGATTAAAAAATCTTTTGTATCAAAATTGAACAACATGTTATTTTTTACTTTCAGAACGGTCGTAGCGATTTTCACCTGCTTGAACCTGGTGCTGTGTACATATCTGGTGGTGACGAAAGTGAATAAAACTTTTGAATCAGACAAAGACGATTCGCACGGAAGCAATGGACTGCCCCTGGATGTTCCAAAGTCCAAATCAGGAATCCCTCTCGTTTTACACCAAGTTTGGACCAACGTTAACGTCCCAGTTGCGTTCTCAAGTGTCATGAAAACGTGGGTTACCAACCAAGGTTCCTGGAGGAAATACTTCTGGGAATGGAAGGACGTGGACAAGCTGGTCGCCGCCACGCACCCGGAATTTCTGGAAGTGTTCCGCAGTCTGCCATCTCACCAAATGCGATTGGATATATTTAAGTACATGTTGATGTACCGCGTGGGTGGTGTATATGCCGACATAGACATGCAGAGTCTGCGCCCCATGGATGATGTGTTGGACGCCCACCCGTGCATTCTCCCTACACATCAACACGTTGTAATTGCCCACAATGGAGTGTTCACAGCGAGCGTCATTCTCCTCTGTCGGCCGGGACACCCATTCTTTAAAAAAGTCGTGGATTATTTTATCCAATTAGATCCCAAGTTGTTACGGACAAATGAAGACACCGGGGAACAGGTGTTTGGGCGCCTGGCCACGGAGTATATGAATGAAATAGGGACAAATCCAGCCACCGGGCCTCAAGACGCCTTGCATTTCGCCCAGGGCGACGAATTTCTCCCAAGGACCCTGATACCCAGAGCAACCTTACTAGAGACCTGCATGGAAAAGTTAACGGACGATAACGTACCGGTGTGGATAAAGAACGCATGCGTGAGTCTGAAGACACGTGACTTCAACTCCTTCCTGCCTCCTGCAGCTTATACAGATCATCGTTTTGCAGGAATGTTTGAAGGGGACGCGGGAACAAAATATAATTTGAACATCACAATCCATGTTAAAGACGTTTATGGAAAATATTATGTAATATACTGAGATAATTGTTGATTCTGACAAAATATTTTAAAGTTGAACTACAGCTGATAAGATATAACTTTTATAATAGAATATTTATTCCATTTTGAACGGGAAACAAAACAGAAAGAACAATGGACAAGAATACAATTAGTACTTAAACGATACCAGTTCTTGGTAATAGCAAATTCTTATTCTTTTGCGAAAGTTATTTTTCTTACAATTTTTATTCAAAACATAAATACTAGTCACTGGTGTTGATTTTAAAAACCTTACTGCACGATTGTTTAAACATTACAATTATACCGGTATATCATGATACACACCAGGTGCAAGTTCGTATTTTTGCCACAAGTATTTGAAGCCACTTAGGTACACATTTATGACTGATATACAGCCTTTGTGGTTAGAAATAAGAAATTAAATATATTCAAACGGGCGGTAACATTCAGCACACATTTATTTCACCTTGCCCTTTTAAAACATCTATCTGAATTCCCCTATTCTGAGTACCTCCACCAAACCACATCACTTGTGAAATATTTATGTGTCAGGATGCTGAAATTCAAAAGTCTACAATTGACAGTAAATCAATCTAAATTATTCTGTTTGCATTTATTTGTTTGAGATTCCCCCTGTGGTTTGATGCCCTCTGTACCACAGATAAACACGATTGTACGCAGTGAGGGGTGACAGGCACACGTACACTGTATATTACGAACCTCTATCCTCTTCAATCATAAGGTACATTAATCCCCTATAATTTAGTATCATATCTTCCGAAATGCTTACCATTTCGTTTCATTTGCTTATCTATTATATCATTAATCATGACATTTGTTGAAGTTGTTTATCTGTCTATAATTTCGTATTTTTTGTTTGTTTCTTTTTTTTAAACTCATTCATTTCTTTATCTATTTTCTTATTTATTTTTGCAGGGAATTCATGTAAAAACAATTTCACTTCAGCTAAGAGAGTAAAAGATAATGAATAACATATTTTAGGAAATGATTTCGACTTTGGGACTAAGGAGAGTCCAAAATTATCCATGTCATCTGGATATTAAGTGTTTGCGTGTGTGCAAAATTTTGATCTGCAGTATACTGTATTTTGAACAGTATATCTTTCAGTTTAATTATGATTTTTAGACGTTTACATTACATGAAGTGAAACTTGAACATAGAACTAACTCCCTTTGTCCCGTTTATCTTCAACATGAAAGGGATTCACGACATTCAAAAACAACTGATGTTCTGTCGGCAAAGGTCGGTGCTTATAGGAAACATTATCTCCGCTGTGTTGTTTCCTTTCCAAGACCATTTGAAACTCAATTCTAAATTTTCGTTTGATCAACGCTCCCCGAGGGTAGCAGGGTAGCTGTATTGATCATAAATACAATGTATGTGTCCATGTGTCTGTATCATTTCGTTAATCTATCAAACCACCCGTTCAGCGTTTGTATGGCACATGATCTTCTGCGACAATATCGATGCACGCTAGCGTCTGTGTGATGGGATAAACGAAAGCACATGTCATCATATCAATGCATTGTTACGCAAAGCAATTAATGGATGTGGGTGTAGTCAAACAAACGTGAAACTGAAATGCTTTTTGTGATGAAACCAGCTTACCAAATGTACATGTACTTCCCTAACAGGAGGCTCCATTCAAATGTCCGGGCGTCTGTGTATATCAAAGAGTGTGTAACATCGAAGATAGGCTAATCTGGCGAGTCCCTATAAAGGGGGGAAAGTATTTTCTAGAATTGGTTTACCATAAATTTCTCCATTGCAAGATTGGTAAAGATTCTCAGCACCCCCGGGTGGCAACAATATATTATCTTTGGCAAGCACGGGGGGGTGTACGCTGCATTTCGATTTGTTACGATTTTGAGCAGCTGGTACGTCTCTTACGGCAACAGGGCTCCGTATCTCGAAAGGCTCGCTATGTTGCGCACGTGCGCAAGCGTCTCGATTCCATAACCAATTCTATTTCGAGATACGGGGCCATGGAATCGAGACACTTGCGCACCTGTGCAAACGTCTCGATATCATGGCCCCGTATCTCGAAATAGAATCGGTTATGGAATCGAGACGCTTGCGCACGTGCGCAACATAGCGAACCTTTCGAGATACGGAGCCCTGATCTACTACATGTGCATTATTTAAGTGCAATGATACCACAGAAAAGCACTGAGAAAAGTAAGAAAAAAATAAGAAAATGAAACCACGTTTTGATGAAACAAAGCCACCCTTAGAATGATTGCCTCCTTAATGTCACTTCATTATTCGCCTTTTCTGTCAAGCCTTTCGCAAAAAAATGATGAAATATATTTATTATGGGCATTGGCGAAACACGAGTGCTTTACTCTGAATCTGTGAAACGCAATTAATCAGCAACTCTTCAAAGCAATCCGCGCAATCTATAAAACTAGGGAAACGTGCTCGTGATTAGGTCTGTCCCAAGATTATCCCCTAAATGACCATTATATCTCACATTATCCAACAATTAATACATGGCGTTTTTTTTTTTTTTCAACACACAATACCATTCAGGTATCGTGTACATCGGAAAGCAAGCTGTACTGCAAATTGACACGGTTTGTTTGGCGATATCAGGATACGGGTACCATGGAAACATTGTTATGGTGACAATATCGTAACAAGTCGATTTTTTGTGACAAATATTTACAACTGTCTCATTACCAAATTCGCCAGTCGTTCTCTTCGAAACTCCACCATCAAGTCGACATGTCTGAGATTAAGAGAAGGGAAGAAAGACAGATACGATTTGTAGATCCGGTGGTGTTTATTGTTGGTAAGTTCTTTGTGTGTGTGTGTATGTGTGTGTGTGTGTGTGTGTCATGTAGCTATTTTAGCCAGTGGGAATGAGCTGAGTTGTGTTTTATGCTCCGGTTTACAATGATGATGATGATGATACTGAACTTGTCCATTTTTCGTCAAGTTTCTTTAATCGGAGTAGGTCGAAGAAGGGGTATAAAACGATAGTCTATGCTGAAACTTGAGTTGACAATGGCTCAAAAGTATACCAATCAATTCTGTAAAAAAAGTGTATGATAGTTCGGCACAGCAACCGCAGCAACCTTCTTTATTTAAACCCCGTATATCAGTTCAAAAAATCACCGGCTTATTTTTTTCTCATTTTTTTATTATAATTACATGAACGTCTGTGTAAAACTAGATTCCTCCCAGTGAAACGCCAAGTATCAAACTAGATTGCTCAGGAAAAAAATCTCGTTTTTTTTTTCAAAAATACGCTAATGGAATTGCACGTAGACGTTACAAACTATAGAGATAATGTATAAAGTAAATAGTAGTACGTGTATTAAAATACATACGTGAGCTTAAAAGACAAGAAAGTATACCCCAAAATAGGATTTTTTGGCGAAGCAATATACATTTAAATGTACTTCACACGCATATTTTATCAGGAGAAAAAGAAATTTTAAAAAATCTTTGAACACTGTCTTTTAATTATCCACGTTTAAGTTATGCAAGAAAAAAATACATAGAAGGACAGTCATTCATTTTGCACTAAAACAGTCACATTCATTATTCTCAGTACGTTTATGCATCATACTTAATTTTATCCCTTTATAACAATTGTCTGTATGCGTCAAAGCTGTCTCCCAATACAAATTGCAGGCGTGCCAAAAATTGATGGGAGAGCACAAAGATAAGTTACACTACATTAAACATGGCAAACCCTTTTTCAGAGAATGGAGGACACTAGGATAAAAAATAGGTAAAAAATGGTAGATGAGGACAAATTTAAATAGCATGTGGGGCACAAGGCAAAAAGTTCCTCCGAAGCTAAATGGGGTGGGGACATGTGACTTACAGGCCCGTAGCCAGGAGGGTTCGGGGGGTCGAAAGACCGCCCCTTTTGTCAGGAAAAGGTCCATTTTTGGGTAAAATTTGAAATAGGTGCACATAAGTTTCTTTGTTAAAGGTCCACTTTTTCAGAAAAAGACACCCCCCCCCCCCCTTTTGAATTTGCTGGCTACGGGCCTGGACTCACCTTCCCTCCTCCCTTACACCCATCTGCTCACCCACCCCACCTCTCTGGATTAGTAATGATATATCCACTGATTACAGTGCAATTTATACACCACCTAATCGTTTTGTTGAAAACCCGGGACTCATTTTCATTCACTTTTCACCTCTTTTCCACTATTCTTCGGCCATTATCATTTTGATCTGCTAATGCCGCTTGTGGTCCTTCAAAATTCACTGAACAATTGTAAATCAAAGTATACATATGCTATAATAAAGGTTAATTAGAACCGTTACATGTTTAGGGGAAACAGGAAAGAATCATAGTGGAAAACACTATTTTGCCATTGTTTTTCCTGGAAAAGTTAATACAAAATATGAATGTGTGGGTGCTTATTCGTGTACGAGTTTTATGCCGGAGAATAGGTGGAAAGTTCATTTTAAACCGCTTTCCCAATCATCAATCATATTTGATGTGTATTGTTGGTTAATTAGGCAACCTGGCTGTCAACTGCAACAGTTAAAAGCAATGCTTCAGGTGGCGCTTTAAATAGTGTCACATTACATTCATGTTCATGATTCTACATTATGAAAGCAATTTTCATTCATTCCATCGGGCTTGTCTTTTTGTTGTACAATACACTCTAGAAACCTGATTTCAGCATGCGTATCCTGTAAGATAATATTATCACAGTTTTAGGCTGCACAGCTGCAATAGCCACCACGCTGCAAGCGAGCTCTACTGTTGCTTCAGATGCTCTCGACACCACAGTTTTCGAAGCTGATTCGAATACCATAATCACGGCAACCTTATTCGTGTCAGGAATTACCCTTAAATCAGAGACAATTGCTACTACAAATCTAGACTCCATGGCAACAGTCTCTACCACTCAGACACTGTCAGACGCTTTACATCCTGGCACAGTGGAACCCTCTGCTACGGAACAGGTGACAGTCTCCACAGCAACAGTGTCTCTTTTATGTGACTTATGTGACTTTGCCACGACGCCAATAGAAACATCAATGGTAAATGGGATGGCAACAATGCCAACGGCGCAAGAGATGACAGCAATCCCGTTTACAACGTATGAAACAGAAACAGACCAGGTGGCAACAACGGCCGAAACAGTGTCGGTAGAGTTTTGTGACTCTTGCACAACGATGCCAAAAGGTACAAAAATGCCAGTGTTTCAAGAGACAAGAGAAACTCGGTGGACAACGGGCGAACCAGCGTCCACGCCGACTGGGCGAACGCTGGCAGAAGGGGCAGTGACGGCAACAGCAACAGAAGGAGCACTAGGAAGTGAGTCATCACCTGACTTTCGGGTCAACGACAGGTTCACAGCTACAACTGCCCTGTCAACATCATCAACGAGATCAGACACTCTAGAGACGCAAACAAGTAGAGTAGCAATACAGCAGGTCCCAACAACTGCCGCCACAACTGAATCTACTACAGAAATGACTGCGTCTACGACAACAAAATCAATAAACACGGTTGTGCTTTCAACAACGATGCAGCCGTTTGACGCGACCTCAAAGCCAAAAAGGGGGCCTAGACCAACTAGGAAAACAACAGCAGATTGGTTCTTAACTGTAACAACCACATCAGCCACAGTGACATCCCCATCTTCGAAAACACCGCAAAATGAAATTCTAACAACGGCCCAGCCTTCGGGAACTGCGCCCATATCAGAATCTACCATGGGACAGAGCTCAACAGTGGAAGAACTGTTCACAACCGAAACAATCACAGCAACTACAGAGGCGTCTGCTTCCTCGCCACCCACTGTAAGTGAATTTTTAATAACGACCCAGCCCTCTGGAACTCCCCCAATGTCAATATCAACAACGAGCCAGAGTTTAACAATCTCAACAAGTACATCATTGGCAAACATCACTACGTCTTCGATTTCAACCACGGCTAGAATTTCAACCACTGCACTGCGCTATGCGCCGGGAACACGAAAACCACCAACGGCTCAGGGCTCAACAACCGCAATTACCAAACACATTCCAAGTACAGAGATGCCAGTACCTTCGTCAACGGACACCTCCTTGGCCTACACCGGTAGTGCAAACAGCACCAGTGTCACCGTTAAAATCACTACGGTCATCCTAAGCTCGGACCAGTTCGGGTACTCCAATTCAGAGTCCGGTTCTTTGCAAACTTCTTTACGTGTGCTATTGTTGGTTAATTTCATTATTTTAGCTGGTTGAATTACCAAGCTTCCTTCTTATTTTTGACTTTTACCCGGTAACAAGAGACATGCCACTCACATTTCACTGACAATATCATCATTTTTGTTTTTAATATCAAGTACTGTTCGACATTTTCGGCGTTATGATGCTTGCTACCGATGTAAATAAAAGTCTGTAGCAAAATATATGTACATGTACATGTATAAATAATTTGCTATTTTTAAATCTCAACTTTGCCATTTCAAATTTTTATAATTTGTAATATCTAGCTCTTAAATTGTAAGGCGCATTGAGATTTTATATGGAATGTTGCATATAAAAATATATCATTAATGTTCATATTATTATAATAATTATTATTATTTAATAATGAATTGTTTTTACAAAAAAAAAGACAAGCATAAGCCGAATATTTTGGCAGTGTCGAAATTTATGTATGTTATTATTAGCAACTTAAATTTAAAGAGTATTTAAGCAAATTCAAAATATTCAACTTTCGGATTTTAAATTATCCCATTTAATAAAAAAATTTTCCTATTCTGGCTTCCTACAGTATGTAATAGTTTTTGTTCTAAACCTATTACTGTACCCTGGGGTTTTATACAGTAGAATCAAAACTGGACACTAATTTGGATACCAAGCTAACTTCTGGACCAGTTATAGGAAAGAACTCAAGTCCTCAAATTGAACTGGAGCTTTAGCATCAAAATTAAGTCTACTTTGGCCTAAGGTGAATCAATAGTAGTTGAATAAACTAAACGTGACGCTTGTTTCCTACCGAAAAGTACATAACTGCTATTCCAGAAAATGTCTGCTTTATTCAGTAGACTACTAAGAGTTGATCTTCACCTGAAATGCAATAAATCTTAGGTCTTACGGTTTAAACCAATGTTCAAGCTGAACCGGTCCAATGTAAATATAAGGTACTTATTTATACACAAGCCCCAAAGTAAATAATAAAAATTACCTTAAGAGATACATAGGGAGTTGTCCCTAAAGTTGTGTCTTTTTGACGCATTCTAAGAAAAAATAAGAGGAAAAAACTACGAATAAATAAGGATGACATCTCTTCGTGTTACCCATTTTAAATAAACCCTGTAATTACCAGTCTGGGTGTGAGAGTGAACACCCTGTTTCTTTTTTCTAGCCTTTCACGCCAAATAATAATATATCACTCACTTGTCACTGGGAACATACGTTATTATGATGTTTGATTGAAAAGACTTTCCCATTCCCCTCAAATAAGGGTAAAAAACGTGCTTGGCTGTTAAGTAAAAAATGCGCATTTAAAAGTTACCTGGAGTGCGGTGGGATAAGGCCATTGGATAATTTACAGAGCAAACAGTAATGTTTTTTATGGATGAAATATGCTTTTAGATCACTCCGGACTGTTTTTATTTTCGTTCTTCTATATTGCAATTTGAAGAATATGTCATTATCATTTTTATTCGTTTATTTCTATTACTTCTGGGTATGAACAGAATCAAAGGAAGAAGCATAGAAATAATGGCGAAAAACAATAAAATCTCTATTTTGCATACTAAATGTCGCTTGAAAAGAAGGCATGTTAAAAAAGGCAGCCCCTGAAAAGGCGCTCTATTACACCCAACCGCATGGCAGGCTGCCACTGCAGTGACAAAGAGCTAGGCGTCGCCTTATTTACGAAGACTGAAATAACAATTGAATGCCTTGTGGCAGAGTGTTCTTTACTTTGCTAATGACTCAGTCTGACGTGCTATTCCGTGACATATATCATTTTTTATGCTGCATATTTCATGCTTGGCATTTGCATTTCTATTCTGTGACACCTGTAAACATTTTAAAACCTATGTCGTTTTTTTTAATGAAAGCAACGTGGTTGATGCTATGGAGATGCTAAAGATTAACATCGTGGCGGCTACTGTGAGTATATATCTGTTGTTTTAACATATGTTGTACTTTGGTTGATAATTATGAATTTTGTCATGTGCATAACAACTGTTTTTTTTTTAAGATCTAAATAATGAAATACATAATCAACCTCGAATGTTGGCAAATGCACGTGTGCACGTAAAGTGTATTGATAAAAAATTGAATAGTTGGGTAATATTGTCGAGCACTCAGATGAGGGTCCTACAGCCCTGAATTTTTAATGTCAGCAGTTTTAATGGCAGCTGCTCGGAGTCCTATCATGACCATTTGTCACATAACCTTGTTGCCATATCAAGGTCATTGAAAGGACTAAACAAATGACAAGCTATCTGGCCTCTGAACTCAAAAATCCAAACGATTATCAGTGGCGGATTCAGGGGTGTCACGGGGGGGGGTGTCCTGACCCCTTCCCCTTTAATTTCTGAAAATCCAATGGTCCCCCTCTTGATATTAGAATTTTGACTAGATGAATAATAGTTCTAAACCGTACCAAATGGTACCGTTCGCCCTCTAAAATACCAAAAAATTTTGGGTCCCTTCTACGGGCCCCGAACCCCACGCCAAAGGGGGAGGGTGTCGGCTCCGCATTAGCGCCCCCCCCCCCGACCCTTCAAATAAGCCTGGATCCGCCCCTGAATATTACTTCTTGAATGTAACTTTGTGAAAATGTTCGGAACAGACTTTCTGTTGGACTTAAGTTTACTGAACAATTAGATAATCAGTTTGTTAGTTTAGATCTAAATGTTTTATTCTCTATCTGTAAATATTCACTCATAAAAATAATATGTTGGGTTGATTGACTATACAAGTCAATTCAAACAACAATTAAATTAAGTTAACAAACAATTAACATTAAACTAGAACAGGTTCAAGTTATGACTGTTGTGAATGTCCTTAAGATTTTTTAATCCCACCTTGTTATATGTACAACCTTTTGTACATGTATGTTGCATTACATCCACAGGTGCTCTTCGTATACCCCGCCATGACAAAAGGCCAGCAATGCCCTCCGCCGGACATTCAACAGTTGCTGACAACCACCGTTCTCGGTTTTCGACAAGACCTTGAAAATCAACTCCAGGAGCACAGGGAAAACATAACAAGAGTTATAGAAGCCAACAATGGTCAGATACTAATTGTGCATGCCTTGTATTTCATTTGATGTTTCGGTATGGTATGGTATGGTATGGTATGGTATGGTATGGTATGTTGTGGTATGGTATGGTATGGTATGGTATGGTATGGTATGCCTATAGTATGGTATGGTATGGTATGCCTATGGTATGTTGTGGTATGGTATGGCATGGTACGGTAATGTCATTTGACTTTTGGGACTAATATATTATTAGGAATTTGTTTTAAGTTTCATTTATTTACTAATTTATTTATTGAGTCATTTATTCATTTTTATTTATTTATTTCCACATATTTATTAACAAATGTTTCTCACTATTCATTCCGTTTCATATTGATTAGTTACCAATTCCTCAACTCTACTAATTTTAAGCTTTTATTCATCAGTTCAACCAATTTCGATTTCAGACTGGCACAAAAGAATGAGATTTGTTTTTTTCCGTATTCTTAATTTAGGCGATAAAACTGCCCCTGCAGTGAGAATGGCGGCAATAAATATGATAGATGGATTCATCACGCTCTCTCAGACAGTTAAAGGAGAAGCAGACGTTCTTGTTCTCTGTCTGACAATAATTGGCGAGCAAGGTGAGAAAACTGTGTTATGTTGGAATGTATCGAGGGCCAATTTCAAAAAATAAATTTAGTCCCAAAGTTGATCTTAATTCTTAGACCAAACTATTTGACTTTAGCTTTAGATTTAGCTCATAATAGATCAATAGATCCCCATACAATTGGCACATTGTGTTTGTTTCATAACAAGAAATTAAGACGTGGCTAATTTTTCAGACCATTGGGCTTGTTGTCTTTTTTTAACTAGATTTTAATATTTGCAATAAAATGCACTTTATTTGATAAAAAAGCCCTTTTTATTGTATTAATACATGTATCGCGATATTATATTAACTCCAAATTGAAAGGTTCATATTTAGTTGAGTGAATTGAAAATGTCCACATGCATTTTCGTTTGATTTTACTCTTTGCTGGTGCTTGACCAGATTACGTCATCATGCAGTGTCGCCACCTAGCCAGTTCCATAGCAGAACTAAAGAAGGTCAAATGCTGATCAAACGTCATTGATTTAGACGGTAGGTTTTCGGTTCAACACTTTCTCATTTTTCCTAGTGTATCGACCAAGGATAGAAGATTTCAGTAACTTCTTGCAGACGACAATTGGCAAGCTGAATACTATGAAATCCCGAATCCAGGCTTTATTGCCATCCAATAGGGAAAGGAGACAGACGGGAGACGTCACTGGAGCCATATTAGACGCTTTACTGCAGTCTATCAAAGATTATCTCACAGACATGCAATCATTCCTTGACAAATTTCTTGGACCCGAAGGTAGGATTTTATTCATTCACTTATCAAGTTGTTAAAACTTTTATTTATTTATTTATTTATTTATTTATTTATTTGGATTTTCTCTTTCACTGACTTATTTATGTTCTTTTAATTCATTCATCTTATTACTATTCATTAACAGAACAATAGATCCATTAATTGTATTCTTCGAAGTGTGCCGGTTATGTCTAAACTTAGAATACGCATGTCATACCTGTCTATCAAATTTAAGTTATAAAATTGTTTGCCAGTTTTAAAGGCCGCTGTAGTCATTTTTGTCTCTAATTGGTTAACCAGTTTATACTTTTATTCTGACCTTCAGCGAACTACGCATGCAGAGTCGACCCTGATGAAATTTTCCTCACTGTTTACGATGGCATCGGCTTCGATGTGCGCAGCGTCTTTGTGGAGAACTATAAAGGCCATACGGGGTGCGAGGCGGTAGAAGGAGATGGAAGTTTTGCCACGCCTTTCACCCTGTCAATCAATACGAGCACCTGTGGAGTAGCGGTGAGCGTGGTTTATGGTGTCCTTGACGCCTGATTTTGGGTGTGGGTTTATTGTAAAGGTATGGCTCTAAAAGTGCCTGTTGTTTTCAGTTTTGGTATTGAACTAAGGTTGTGCACTGTTCAGTTAATTCTATTTTAGTACATAAAATTATTTTTCCTGGACTAGTGTGTTCAAATCAGGACGAAAAAGAATTTTACATTTACAATACAAGTATAAGATAACTTTCTGATTTTTTACACATCTCGCAAAAGAAACAAACGCCTGCAAAAGTTGAAATGTTTTCTTCCTTGTTCTCAGGGCAACGGTACAACAGCAGCGCCGTATACGGTCAAAGTCCTAGCAACGAGGAGTGACGTCATCATCAGCTTGTCCGACTTTGAGTTTGTCTTAGCATGCAATGGTAGCACGTCCACCCAAACGTCAACCAACGTCACTACAGATGGCGCCAGGTGCCCCACTCTCTCTCTCTCTCTCTCTCTCTCTCTCTCTCTCTCTCTCTCTCTCTCTCTCTCTCTCTCTCTCTCTCCACAGCCACTTCTCCACCGTCACAAGAATATATAAATTCATGGCCATTGGGTAATGATATTCTCATCATCTTAGCTAACTATGGTCCTACCTTGTATTGCAGATATATACCTGGGGTCCCTGTTATCAGAACCGAGGAGGTGTTTCTTTATGTGTTTAACAGCAACGACCAAAAGATTAATGGATGTCAACTAGGAGAAGATATTAAACTCGGGATAGAGTTGACCAAATCCCCAAGTAAGGAAAGACGCAGTGTAAAGCTTAGTATTGCTATTTGATAAACGTATAATTTTATACTTGTAGTATGTATTTCATATTTATTTGTACCATGTGATAGTTGAATGAACGGCACCATGAAACTGAGGATTATTCTCTATCTGTATCTGAAACTAAAGATGTGAAACAAAGTGAAGTTACTGTACATGTGAACCTCTAGCTTAGGCAGCATTTCAGATACTTTTTCCAAGATTTTTACACATTGATATTTATATATATAGTCTTCATATCAGAAGATGGGGGCAAACTTTCTGTTAACTACGTAGGCATTTATAGACCCCTCATATATAGATATTTAATATTCTACATACATCATACCATTTTAGCTGCACAAGGTGCACGTCCGATGAACTGCATTGCTTATAATCCCAACAGAACGGCAGAAATCGCATTGCTGGTTGATGGGTAAGTGTGATTGCGTTTTGCGCCGATAGTCTTTTAGATTTTTTCTGGTTGATTTTTCACCGATACAGTTACGTAGAATATTGTAAAAAAAATGAAAGAAATGCGTTAGTACATAAAGAGAGGATATTCCTGGAAAGTGTATTGCATTCATGACTCCTGCTTATATCAGCAGACACTTGCCACCCACGTTAGAAGATTGATTACAACAATTGTATATCAGTATTTAAAAATATATAAAATGTTTCGCTGAAACTGCGTTTTCCCTTTCTTTTCCACATTAAAGATGCCCACTGACAACCAATCCACTGGACGCCATACTTGCATTGGGATTTGCAAGACAAGCCACGTCGGCGGAGACTGCAGTGTCACATAGCGGTCTATTCAAGTGCTTCAGATTCCCAAGCAGTTTCTGGTACACGATAGAGTGTGAAGTCGAATTTTGTTCAAAGGACGATGACACCGAATGTATAAACGTGAGTAGGAACAGAAAGCGACACTTTACTATGGAGTCACCTATTATCCCTCATGGTCATTATAAAATGGCACTATTATTTCAGGATACTTCATTGTTTTTTGTTTTAAATAAGTACTGAGGCAATCTCCACATTAACATCTGCTTATTTTGAACCAAGTTGGGGTTTTAATAAATCACGAGGGCAACATAGGAGGACTAAATTTTGCGTATTTCTTTAGTGATACAATTACCTACTGAAATAGGGATTTATCTGTTCTAGGCGCCGACCTGTGGTCAGAGAAGACGTCGGTCTGTGTCAGTCGATAGAGTTCAAAAGGTCTACGATACGATCAGGGTGACACTAGGCCGTCAATCGGGCCACGGAGTAAGCTTTACTGGTAAGACAAAGAAAAACAAAAGAATTACGTGCTTAAGATAGAAACGCAAGAATATTGTAAACCATGACTGTGGTCCTTTTCATTGGCCTTTTGGTGTCTGAAAAAGTAAGGCAAAATATTTTTTAGCTTTTTAATAATTTTGTCATGGGCCTTAACGGATCTTGTCAAGTTACCGTACAATTGTCGTCAAACTGGAAAGTTTTGCATTCAAGCTTAAGGTTTATACTTTTTAAAGTACGAATTTAAATTAGTGACACTAGGTTTTGTATCAGTTAACCCCCCCGTGATTTTCGTCTTTCAGGTGACAACTGGACAGGTGTCCATGACGAGAAGTCATCGCAGACAACTATGGCGCCAAAGATATGGGAATCCACGGAGTTCATTGGTGTCGTCTGCGCTCTGGGGGTCGCCTCTCTTATTATTGCAATAATGTGTTTTGTTACGTGCTATCAGCGACGGATGATTCTGAAATCAAAAGAAAACAGTAAATTTATTTCATAGTCTAGAATAACGTTTTGCTGTAAGACATCATGCACAGTTACACAGTTATATGCCTTGCGGACTGAGCACCCTGGCGAAGTAATATGCAAGGGTTAGTGCGTACACTTCTTTGTTTGATGTGCTGTACACTCCTCTCAAATTTATTTTACGTCATTTTATAGTCTTGAATCGGGCAGCTGTACAAAATCATAATTACGATATCCACTATTCTGAGTTATTGTTTATGACTCTATAGAATATTTTTCTTTCTAGCTTTGTTCAAACTAATTGTCTTTTATACACACCACAATGTCGGGTTCAAACCCCCCCCCCCTTCCAATCCTCCAATCCCCACCCACCTCCGTGCTGTGCCTGGTACAACATTTTGCATCTTTTTGTACGCCCTCAAGTTTGCCTTAGGCCAAGTCGCAGTCACACTTTCTAACGTGTCTGACATAAAGGCATATTCTGATATCATAGCGCACCCTGCAGCCTAGCCTGTTACAAAATTGAAGACATCAGAAAGAACTGATAAGTCTTTTCGTCATTTTTTTAACAGAAAAGACCACAGAGACACTCGTGCTATCAAGATATACGAGGTATAATTCTAAAAAAAAATACTATGCAGTTTTCAAATAACGTTGTTGTTTTTTTTTCCTCTTGAACTGATTTTTGTGTTTGGGCGAATGGGATTATTTCTCTGTGGTTTCTTAAAACCCATTAGTCAGGTATTGTGAAATTACTTCTTAAAGCAGGGGCGGATTTAGGCGGTCCTCTGGGTCTTCCGGAAGACGGTCAAATTCCTAAGTTTACATAGATGAGTACCTCTTTTTTCTGTCGGAAGACGGTCAAAAAAATGGAGGATGTATCAACAAAGATAATTTGTAAGACTGTCAGAAAATATCTCTGGATCCGCCCCTGTAAAGCTATTGATCATTCAAACAAAACGCATTTTTTCTGAATTGCAAATAAAAGCTGATGAATCTCTTCTGCCAAAATGATACTAAAGCATTTTTGAATTTAGAAGGATAAGAGATAGTAGTTGTAAAAGAATATATGATTTAATAGTGTTCTAAGAAATTTCGTTGAAAACAAACCCAGTTTCAAGAATTCTCTAAAATTAAGGACATATTTATGTTTTTTTATAAAGATGATGAAAGAGAATAATACTAGACCAAAACATTCGTATATCTTGTCCTTAAAAGTGGACTTCAGAAATACATGTAACTACCTTCATAGACCACATGAATTTAGTTTACAAGGGATACAGTAAGTGGCTCCTTTTTCTTCATTCGTTTTGGTATTTTTTCCTCCTTTTCGGATGAGAAAACGTCTTAAGTACTGTAACCAGTTTAAAGTAGCTAACATGCAATTAGCATAATTCATAACAATTTATTACTTAGTGTAACGTGACGTTGTATAACAAAAATCCGGACACCTTACGGCAAAAAGTACAAGATGCTTTTATGTAAACAGAGACGGAGTTAAAGTCTATTAAAAAAGTATTTATTACTCAACATGTTTGCGTAGGAGCTGGACAGAAAGATATGTCAAAAGACGCCCAAGTTCACAAGCAGAAAGAAAAAATTATAGTATTATAAAAGCGGACGTCCCGTTCAGGTTGACGCTTTACAAACGTTTGGCGATGATGCTGCATTCTGTAACCTTTTTTATCCCCGGGGTGGATGCCAATCTCAAGTTGACTAACACTTTTGGGAATGCCCCAAACGTAAATTACCTTTAACTCGACGAATACGGAAACTGGACTTATAAAAAAGCTGGGCCATTTATCTGCATGACCAGGTCATAGATTGCATCGACGTGAATGGTCATTGAATTATTATTGTTATTATATTTACACATATCGGTTCAAGAGTTTTCTTCGTGTCAATTTTTCAAAAATCCGGACTGAGAAAATCAATGATTTCACTGTGATAAAAGAAAAGATAGGGGTGCATATTAAATATTTAAATATATATTTAAATGTTTAAGTACAGAAGGGTTGGAAGTTCGACATTTGTTGATTTTCCTCGGAAAAAATATGCCCATGAAATGACACAGTCGCTGAGCTTACTTATGCCCCGATACGGCCAACTGGAGATTGCATCGAACGGCTCACCAATTCTGTTAAGAAAGTAATTTAACTCAGCAAGTTTGCGTAGGATCTGGAGCTGAAGGATAAAAGCAACATAAAAAAACGTTTACTACCCATAAAGACTGAGAGCCTGGAATGCTTGGTTAAAAAATTAAAAGAAGTGCACATAGTGCTTAAGAGAAAAAATACCATAGTTATGTCGCACTGAACTCACTTTCGTCTCGGGAGTTCATCCCCTTTGGGGAACATGTGCGTAATTTTTATTAACTTGATATTGGAAATACAGCACAATTATTAAGCTTTGATTGTAAACATGGTCCCATAATTATGAAATACGAAACAATATATTGAATCTCAGATTAAGTAGAATGTGAAATTGTGTTTGAAGACGTTTGATGCCTGTTAGCATGCCTTAAAATGGTAATTACGAGAAGGTCAATTTTTTCAGTGTGCCTCCCGGATACGTTTGTCCCAAAAATGTTATATTTGACAAGGAAATGGCACGTCCCAAAACCACAATCCACGCCCCTTGCTAACAATGAATACAATACAGAATACAACATAGCTTGTAACGGGTCATAAACGACGAATGAGATGACACTTAGGGATGAGGACCGTATCTTACACGGCACCGCTACCTTCCAGTTAATAGTTCGTCCGAGTGACTTGAGTCGACACAGCTCCAAATTTGGCGTCCAGAGTTCCAAATTCGAACTTCAACGGGAGCGTGTTAAGGTAATGTAATCGCTCTGTGTCTACATGTAGTTTTAGCGTAAAAATCTCCGGCTGAACCAGCATAGTATATTTAATGATTTATGTTTTTATTCATAATTATCATTATTTATAGCATTACTGTTTGCCATATACATGTTATGTTTGAAATGATTATGCTTCTTCTCTTGTTTGAATATCACATCTATACGAGATGTGAAGATAAACGAGCATGGCCCGGTTTATGAGATGTTCACTTTGAAAAAATTGCAGTTTTCGTAGCATTTCTATCGGAATATCAGACTTAACGGAAACTTCTGCCAGCTATCTGACAGTAAGTTTTTACTTGTATCTCTTTGTTGAGATTCATACTTTGGAAATTAACAAAAGAAAATATAGCATGGAGTGTTCTAGGGTATTCTGTTTTAGTTTTTGTTATTGTTAATCAAGAATAAGGTCCATTGTGTTACTGTGCTTGGAAGATCAGAAATTCTCTTAAAAATTGATCTCTAAACACCCCTTGCAATTAGTGGCCTAGCATATTTGTGTTACTTTTATCATAAGAGAATCATCCGAAATAATTTCAAGCGACTTGATGGTGGACTTGATGGGGGACTTCTTGGGATTTGGAGGGTCAGGCCTACCCAACTACCAGACTCGGCACATAAGGATCCTGAATTAACCGGTATGTCGGACCACACTACCCGTTTTCAAGGTGTGTGTCAGATCGCATTTCGGAGTATCACACCCCAGAACAAATTTTGTAGGACGACCGCGGGCTCATCCACGCTCGGCTGTCACCTTGATTGGATAGTAAACGATTGTCGTAAAATCGCTGTATGATTTTAAAACCGGGTGCATAAATTTGAAAACCACCTAGAACAACCTTAGACTGTACTCTTACTTTAGAGTACTCTATTTTATTGTCTCTGTGGGGGTATATGGGGACGACATGAGGTTTGAATGCTTTAACCACTTTTGATAGGGCTTTTTGGCATTGTATTAGATTAATGTGGCTGTCTAAGGTTGTTCTAGGTGGTTTTCAAATTTATGCACCCGGTTTTAAAATCATATAGCGATTTTACGGCAATTGTTTACTATCCAATCAAGGTGACAGCCGAGCGTTGGCTCATCCTGTCGGTGTTCTGACCGATAATCCGAAATGCGATCTGACACACACCTTGAAAACGGGTAGTGTGGTCCGATATACCGGTTAATTCAGGATCCTTATGTGCCGAGTCTGGTAGTTGGGTAGGCCTGAGGGTGGTGTCAGAAAAATACTATATATTAACTCGTACGTTGCGGCAACGAATTAAAGCTGGTACAATCTATCTGCGTATAATATTCTCTCAAATTCTGTCGAATAAGTGCTTTGTGCAAAAGTACACGATGCTTTGCCCGTTACTTTTGAGACGATAAGCCCCAACTCACGCGGATTTTCGCGAGTTTTTAGTCTCTTGTCACATCGTCACGCGTATACCGTCATGCACTACTGACAGCCTCGTTTCAGGCTATCTCAGATGTTACCATATCATGTATGATGTAATTGTGCTTTAATTTGGTTTTCAACATAACAAAGGAGTTCCTATAACTGGGTTTGGACCATCATACAATACGGTTCCTAGCTTTGGGCTATGAAGGAAAGTGTTAGCAATTTTCGTCAAATACCTGTAGTATGATATAATAATAATAATAATAATAATAATAATAATAATAATAATAATAATAATATGTCAATTTTCAATTCAGAACAATATTACAACCAGTCATACAAGCCCAACTGATGCTATGTGGCGTGTGGTTATCTTACTCGTAAGTATCGGTATAAAAAAAAAGTGCAAAGTTTTTTTCTTCGTAAGAGTAAGTTATCCAAGCCCTTGTCTATAAATTGAAAAAGAAAAAGATTATTATGTTCTTCTTTTTTTAAATAATATATTCAATCATGACCTCACAGTCGGTCCTTGAGTAATCGCAGTTGTGGTCCTTGCACCCATGGGAACACCAGTGCTATCATGTACTCCTCAAAAGCTTAAGTTTCTTTAGAACTCAAATTCAGCAGGTTTGAGAAAAAGTGCCGGTATCCTATCAGCTTAATTGAAATGCAGGGGCTCTCTTGGTCTTTTTTCTATTATTTCATTTTATTTATCCACTTATTTTTTTCTTGTTTTTGTCGTTGTGTTTCTTTTGAGTTTACCTGTTGGTTGTTTATATGGTATCTATAAATATTTGGGTATGAAATTAAATTCATTTAAAAATAAAAGGCAAGTGAGTGTTACATATAACCGTGACATTTTGTGACACATCATGACATACAAGGTCACACAATGCCACGGTTATATGTGGACCTTTTTCGGCAAAGATGATTAAATATTTAATTTTTGCAGACGTTAGTGACGGTGACATGGGCACAACCCCAGTACCCGGGTAATTTGACTTATTGTGCAGTGGGCGCTCAGGCTCTTAAGACAGCGTTTACAGCAACTAGCAATGTGGCCACGTTAAATCTGACACAGGTAAGATTGAAGAAACGTCCAGTACCGAGAATTTATCAAGCCACTTGATTTATTTCCTAATAAATGGGTTACTGGTTGATTGGAAAATGAAGCCATCGATGTTTTTAAGCGCATTGTTGGTAATTTTTTCATTATTTACACACAGTGAAGCTTGACATTCGTCAAGGTTTTTTGTTTTATTTCACTTTGTTTCCATTTATACATCTATATTTATCAATTTTTTGTCTGTTTATTTATTCGTTATTTATTCGTTTATTTTTTCATCAACTGATTTATTTTGTTTTTCTTAGCATATTTATTTTTCATTTTACAACATTTTCTTGGGCTTTTATTTGTTTCAACTCTACATTGTCTTTAGCTCATAGGAGAGCTGACAGAGGTGGCAAACCGAACGCAAAACATGAATATAACGGTGGAAAGGATTACGGAACAACGCCAGCTTTTCCAACAAATTCGTGACGTGGTGCAGGTGATGAAAGAGAATGCGGACTGGTACTTGGCATGCCTTGAAGCCTCTGATCAAGCAGGTATCTCCCTCCCTCTCTCTCTCTCTCTCTCTCTCTCTCTCTCTCTCTTGGATAAGTTTTCAGACTGTTTGCATGTTTGTTTGCCTTTCTGTTAATTTGTTAATTTGTTTATTCATTTATTTATTTTTTTACTTACTTCATGTTTTTTTTTTAGTTGCTTGTCCTTTTGCTTCGTATTGAACTATTTTAGATAGTTTGTAACTCAAATTTCACCCAGCGGACCATTCTCTCTCTCTGTCTCTCTCTCTCTCTCTCTCTCTCTTAGATATGTTCCCAGACAGTTTTTTTTTATTATTTTTTTTCCACGTTTGGACACTTGTCATTTCGTTTGTTTCTTTTCAGTCTATTGTTTGTCAGTATGAAATGCATCTTTTTGCAGGAGGTCCAGCGGCCCTAGCAATGCTAACCAGCCACTCAGCGGCGATTGCCAGCTTGTTAACGAAACTAGATGTACAAATCGGATCCCTTGACGACCGCATCAACGCTCAGAGTGCGGAACCAATTTTCCGAAGAAGAAGACAACTCACTCAGACAGAGGAAGAAGAAACAGTCGTTCGTAAAAAGAGACAATTCGCACAGGAAGAGGAGGAAGATTTAAGTCGTTTATTGCAAATTCTGAGTAACTTCTTAGAGCAGATGGAATTGTTTTTGCAGTTGCTGATAGGTCCGAGAGGTAAGGACGTGCGCGCGTGCGTGTGTGTGTGTGTGTGTGTGTGTGTTATCAGTTTTCGACGTCCTTCATGAAAAAGTGTCGCCAAAGTATAACGGATTTTTTACTTAGAGTTTGTATACGGGAATACTGAAAGATCCGATTGTAAGACGGATATTTGTATGAAAATTCGTGCTGTAATTAACCTACATTAAAACTACCTTATACAGGATTTACCCGCCAAAATGTATTTCTGGGAAATGAAACAATTATTCTACTTACTTGGCATGTCCCTAGACATGTTTTATTTCATCTTCAATTCAGCAGTTTAGTTCTTTGTGACTCTTCAGTCATTTAGAACGCCATGCCATCCTTGTACACGTCATACATAACTTTATCGGCACTCGGTACATTTAAGAGGTTATAATGTTTTTAAGATTTGAATTGGAAAAAAATAGTAGCTTTCTGGGATATGTAGACAACGAAATGTGGTTTTGAGAAATTCTCAAACGCTCGCAGTGCACCTTGAAGTGTGGGAATGATGCCTGACTATTAACACTTTAAATGAGATGAACCAACGTCCCCCTCCCCCCCCCCTCTCTCTCTCTCTCTCTCACACACACACACACACACACACACACACACACAAAGAGGTGGTTAAAGCTACTGTCACGCTTAGCGTATGAGAATAATCGCCCATACGCAGACAAACACAAGATTTAGGCGCATACGAGGAGGAGATGTTTTGAGGATGTTCAAAAACAATTTCATACGCTGCATTTTATGTTCATTTTAATGCGCTAGAAACACGGTGATATCAAAGTTGTGCGTATAATGGATTATACTGACGATATTTCTTTACGCTTGGTGTGACAGAGCCTTAACCAAGAGAAATGTACGGCTGTCCAAGTACCTCTCGAAAATTAACTGTCGAGTTAGCCTGCTCTTGTCAGACGTATACCAGAACAATATATATTCATAATCACTGGTGAAAAGTTCTACTTAAAGACCCCGTGTAAAAATCGTAACGGTGATCCCTTCAAGGTATCAAACAAACAATACGTTTGTATTCTAGGTTTATTTGGAGCTTTTATCCGTCTTCTCTTTGCCTTGATACCCGTATCTCTACATACATGCACGTAAATGAAATATATTTATTGAAATAAAAGGTTTTGCGATAATATACTTTCACAAATTTGATGGGTTTTGCAGCACTGATCGGATGCAGGGCGTCACCGGATTCCATAAGCGTCACTGTTTACGACGGCGTAGGGTTCGACGTCGTCAACGCTTACGTACTCAACAAGAAGAGCGTAGAAGACTGTCGGGCGTCAGCCGGGGACGGTACGATATCCAATCCCTTTACCTTGTCGCTTGTGCCGAGTGGACCATGTGGCATTACTGTAAGTTCGGAAACATGTCGAGCATTTCTGTTTAATTGGATATTTTTGTTTTTCGATCATCTCTGTATTTTTGTTTTGTAATGTGGAACTTATTGACATCGGAGAGCATTTTGAACTGAGTTTCAAATCCTAAGTGTATGTTTTGTTTTGTGATTTTATGCCTACTTAAACTATTATCTTATAAAAAGGAATGTTTTGGTAATTAGAAGTAAGCAATGAATCACTGATACCTGTGTTTCATAGAAAACTGCAGTTTCTGCGATATGTTCTGTTATGATTCGATTCCTCGCAAAGTTTTCATCCTAAAAGGCGACGTTTATCCCTGACCGTTATACATCAAAGGCAATAAAACAATATCGATCACATGAAATTGTTGTAAAAAAATATTTTCATAAAAAAAGGATCGAAGTACTTACTTCGAGATATATGTAAACTTAGGATCGCGTGTATGTCAGTAAAAAAAAGGAGGCAGAAAGCTTATCAAATGATGTTTGAGTATATTTAAAGTCGTATTTATAATCAACATTGACCTATTTTTTATTACAAGTGAAAATGTTTTTTTTTTATATAACATATATCATCTAAAAGCAATATTATAGGGAAGCGGGACTAACGCCGATCCATACACGGTAAAAGTTTTGGCAGTGCGCAGTGACATCATTGAATCCAGGCGTGACGTAGTGTTTGACGTCATATGCACAGGGCCAACGTCACAACAAGTACTTGCAGGAATCGAAGTTTCCGATGTGTAAGTAAAAAGACCGAATACACTGAGTATTCAAATTTCATTTAAACCAAGTTACTGTTAGACAATATTCACCTTTAGTGTAAATAGATTTCAGCATTGCGTTTTGCGAAACGGTGGTACCTCGTCAACCACGCAATATTCAGTGGTGGCAGCCGCAGGAAAAATTAACTAATACCAAAGAAGTAAGGAATGAGAAAACGACCTAGATGTAAAAACAATAGTCTAGTGTAAGGTTTATTATATTACAGAACGTTTAACCAAGGAAGAGCTGAGACACGAACAGAAAACGTGATGCTGGAAGTCATTGACGGAGGTGGAAATGCTGTTACCACGTGTGCGCTAGGGGAAGATATTAGGCTGCGCCTGACCTTAGTACCGTCTACTAGTAAGCACAGTACATGATCTTTTCCTCTGGTTTGCAATATTTATTTAATCATTTTTTTTTTTGACATGTTACAAAATATTCATACGAACTGAAGTCAAGATCTAACCAATGCGAGCATTCTAGAGCATCCCTTAAACATTGATCAAAATCATCCATACGTTTTCTGTTCGTATTTCTTGGCAAAAAAGGAACAATCTCTCTCACACTTGCACACACGTACACGCACCCGTCTTCACCATAGGTGTCAAGTCCAAAATTGGTTTCATTTCAGCCGCACGTGGAGTGCGAGCAATTAACGTAGCTTCGTCACCTTCGTCGGACCCAACGGCTGCAACTGTAAACCTTCTAGCAAATGGGTAGGTACATATAGTTCATATTTGACATTTCACATTATCTACGTTTGTTTTTATACTCTACCTGTATATACACTATGTATCGTTTCATTTTAAAGCCCTCCTAACCAGGATTTTCCACCACTTACATTTACCGAATTTTCTCCGGGGTAAGCGGCATTTCCCTCCGACTGATCAACATTTTCATTCTATTTACTTCTTGATATCGCGGGAGTCTCGTGCCGTGACCCACGTTATTTTCAAACTGTGTCAAGAAGGCCCACTATCGAGGTTGAAAAGTGATTATTTTTGCAATATTGATTACGGCCATTTATCTCTCAATTTATTTCTTATAAGTTAAAATTGTCCTCCGGTAATTTCGACAAGAAGCGATTCATGCTTTAAGAATGTGTTCAAAACCTTGGCTTGGCTCACTTTAATGTATTATTCAAGGTGTAAGTGTATATTATAAATCCAATTCTATTTGCAGGTGTCCTGTAAGTTCCAACCCTCCGGCAGCTGTTCTTGCTGCTGGCTTTAATGCTGTTGCTCCAAATCCGGGTAACGTTGTGATCTCCGGGGTTTTCAAATGTTACAAGTTCCCGGATGTGACAACGCTAAGGTTCGAGGCTGAAATACAGTTCTGCACTGCAGATAATGATCAGTCTTGTACGGTAGGTAATAATAATAATATTTTCTTTTCTTGAAAATGCATTTTTGCTTTTATGTTGTTCAACACAAATTGTTAACGTTTCAGCTGTTGCCTTTATTTTAAAGACAATTATTTATGATATTATTTTTCAAGCGAGTAGCATGCAGATTGCACGATTGACATCAGAAATTGCAAGCAGTTCTAGCAGTAACTTTACATACGCAATTATAAGCACAAGGCGGCAAAGCTGTCAAATGTCCAGAAACAAATCAGAAAATAATGATACTGGTGCATAAATACAAATTTTTGTCAATGTTGAGGCAATTTACCACAATGCTTCACGACAAAATCACCACCATTTTCATATTACATTTTTGTTCGCTTTTTTTTTTTTTTTTTTTTTTGTGCCAATTTGATATTATATATTTCTGTCTGTCCGTGTTGTATACAAACAGCGGTAATAAATTTCTACCTACTACTACAGATATAGACTCACTGAACACGCTGCTATGTGCTTTGTTTATCACATTTTTCTATCCTGAAGGTGTGTTTTAGACAGTTGCACCAGTTTTGGTTTTTCAGACACAACCTGCATGCGGGGTACGAAAGAGGTCTGTGACAGAAGAGAAGTCGGAGTCGGTTTCAGCCACGGTGACTGTGTACGTCAATGAAGAGGCACGGGCAGCGGCTGCAGGAGGTACGAATTAACTATCACAGTTTTCGTATTTTGCGCGGTCAGCACTAATCAGCAGTTGTTTTGCTGTTAAAGTATTTCAAGACATTACTAAGATGCTGTGAAAGATGCCGTTGAAGAGTTGCATAAGAAGAACATATTGCTCAACTACTCTCAGAATTTCATTGAGCCGGAAACGCTTCTCAATTTTCACAATATTTTGTGTGAGCTATAATAGAAATTTTCAATATTTTTCTTTATTCATTTAATAAATTCTATTCATCTTTATCCATATGCGATACACCAATTGCACATAAATCGACGGCTTCTTTTGCGATATCTGTACTTTGTTAAACAGTTTTATAAAGAGTACGTGAATAAAATATAAAATTATAACAAGATATTTGAAAATAACGTTTGCGTTTTGTAGTAAATTAATACAAGCATTTACTTACTGTAGTCTACCCATACACATAACTATTTATCTTTTGCAGGAGGTAACAGCACCGCCACTTTGACGACGAGCCGACCTGCGCCCGCAGAGAAGTTGAACATTTGGACATCTACAGCCTTCATCGCCACATTGTGCGGGTGCGCAGTGCTTATGTTGCTTGTCATGTTAATGGCTGCACTCGTCATACTTCGCTCACGCAGCAGAGTTGATAAATCCTAAAGCAAAGAACTGCAACATAAGCACAGTGCTGTCACAACCCCTAATCCAAGACCCCCAAACTGATAGCAATGAGAAAATATAGGTTCAACTAACGGAATTAAAAAAAAGTTACTCTTAAATTTTAGTTACTTTCACTGTATTTTACATTTACCCTCCTTTAACTTTGTACGTGGATTCAAGATGCCAATATAGTTACTTGGAAACAATTTACCCACATTTTCGATTGGTTCTACAAATCTTCTCTCTGCTATCATGTTCCACTATTCCAGAATTGTGCAAGATGTCATATTTGCCATGTAGCCAACAATCAAATTTACCTAATACAATTATTTCTGTTCTTTCGGAAGAAAAAAATGTAATATTCAGACGTCAAATTGACAAAACTTGCAGTTTTTATTTATTCGGAATAAATATTTTAATAAAGTAAAGGATCATTTGAATTTTTATTGGCACTTCATCATACGAGTATTCAGATAGCAAATCGCGCTGCTAAGATACTTAGTACGCTGTGCCCCCTCGTTCCCAATTTTCCGTTTTAACGTATTTCTCACGAAATTGAAACCGTTTCTTTGATCTTTTCTGAAGTGAAGGAAAATCCACATGATTCTAACAATATTGTGGTGAAAACCCAAGGACAAATGCTCATACAGTTCTAAAACCTGTTCTTGCAAATTCCTGAGAAGTTAAAGGTACATATGAACCGAGCGTCGGTAGAGCGTGAATTCCCAGTAACACGTATACCAGTAAACCACTTCTACTAGTTTCTTAAATGACTTAAATAAATTCGACATGCCAAGGGATAAACTAAATAAATCACTCAACCAACCATAAAGAGCTTTAAACTGCTCCTTTCTTTAAATTATTGGTCAGAAATTTAACCTACTTATCTGACCTACTTTTTGCCCCATTTTTATACAAAGCTAGCTGAAAAATCCGTTCAAATATCATTTTTCTGGTAATATTAAACAATGTCTTTTGGTAATTCTCTTAGTTATACTATTTGAAACTATATGCTGGCATTTGATCGGCTTTTGTGTCAACAATTGACATCTTATGCATCTTTAAGGGAAAGGATGCAAAAGAAAGGCTCAATCTGCCATCTGAATGTGTGCGGCGTTGCTTTGTATCTGTTCACTATCGCCGTCGGTATATACAAAAGGAGCCTCGTTTTGAAGACCAGAATAACCACCACGTGACCTCGCCGTTCGTTTTCTTTCTTCTCTTGGTTCGTTGGGGTTAACTGGACCCTGAAATATATGTCGTGATAAATATACTTTATCCTCGTTTAACTTTGAGAGAGACTTAACATGAATTTGAATTACCAACTACTTATCCTCTTTCAATCCCAGCTGTTATTGCACTGTTCACATTATCATAAACACAAATTCTATGAACAACAAGCAATTCTATAGATTTCACAAGAATATTACATAATATTATGCCATGTCGTAGAAATATACAGATATTAAATCAAAGAAACTTTGTGTTAATTTCAATTCATGAATGATTGGTAAGCTTGTCAACTGAAGTTAAATGCTGCGATGACCTGGAATGGAAGAGAATCTTGGGAAAGCCATTTACATATACTTTTAAAATGGTCCCGAAGCTTTTTTTAATGCAGTCTGACATCTTACATGTCAAACCTTTTATCTCGTTTTTCTTTTGGACTATTGTTTCATTTGTCCAAGTTTTCCCTAGAGGATTTGCGAGCGACCGTTTAAAAACAGCCCCAATCGGATCCTAGGGTCGCAGTGCAACTTACCTTTTTGTTATCTTTAGATTTACACGATTTGTATGCTCGGGTTTTTACCACCACCATAGTTGCACCATACAAAATCCACGCAGTGACAGCAATTATGCCAACAACTTCCATCACAAGGGAAAAAACGTGTCGCTGCTCGCACACGTATGTTTTGCTATTTGGGTATTCGCCGCTGGAACACGTTTGCACGCATGCGCTTGAAATTGTTTTGTACGGGAAATCTTCTGGGCACTCGCTGACATCCTGACACAATGTTGACTGTCCGATCCGGAGATAAGGGGAGGGGCAAGTCGAGAAACAAGCCACGCCTCCATAAGCGAGGGTAAGAGGCCGGTTTTCTGGACATGAAGACAGGCACATGCCACTCACCCTGAAAGAACAATAACGCCTTGGTGTCCATGAGACTAGAATAATAGGTGTTCACGGTGGACAAGACTGCAAAAGTCTTACATGATCAAACAGTAAAAACAAATGCTGAAGCAATTTTAACAAAACCTATTACTTTTAGCCAAACGTATAATATCCCTTCCCAGTGATTACCTGTATTTAAGATTTCGAGGACAGCTGCTGAGACACCGAGTTGTATTTGGCACCCTAACCATTCTTGTCGGACATGACGTCGCGCACGTGTCATTCACGACGAATCGCCTGATATCCGGGCACTTGTCTGTGCATGTGACGTTGTCCCGAAACAGCCCTTCTGGACACTCAGTATAGCAGCGCCTCCTATAGTGAAAGAATGGGCATTGCTCTACACATTCGGTGTCGTTGTCCGAAGTGAAGGTCGATTCTGGACACTGGACTACACATGAATGATTGAATTTATACAGTGGCCTAGGACATGTAGATAAACATTGGTCCTTGTAGATGAAGTGAGAGCACACGTGCGTGCACGCTTTCGTCACTGGATCAACTAAACTGTTATTGGTTGGGCACTGCAAGACGCATGCGCCCTGATAGTTTGGGAGCTCCCCAGGGCATTTGTCCACGCAGTGGTGCTTGTAGTGTAACTTATTACATGATCTAATACAGCGCGTATCGTTCACGTAGATATGGTCCCTTGGACATACCGCAATACATGCTCCATTGTATATCAGATTGGCGTACTCAGGACACGCATTTACACAATGTGATCCAAACGAAAGCACGGGGCACGATGACACGCAAGTGTCATTATAGATAAAGCTTGCTTCTTTGGGACACTGGTGGACACAGGAGTGGTTGAATCCTACCCATACAGTTGCATTGGGGCACTGTTCAAGGCAATGGTCCTGGTACCATACACCGGGGCACTCTTTTAGGCATTGTTTATTATAGACGACTGAGCGTTCGTGAGGACAGACATGAACACAGGTCAAACCATCTCGTAAATGTTTGCAGCTTTTGCATTGGTCATTGCCTGGTCCGGTACATCCGCCCTCACATTCTATATGACAGGGAAGGCAATATTTGGTCGCGTTGGCATAATAGTTAATTGGACATTGGTCCACGCAGATTTTTCCTAGCCTGTAGTGTGGACAAATGTAGACACACGTGTTTCCGTTTGTAAGGGCATCGGGTGGGCATTTCAGTAAGCATCTTCCTTCAAATTCCACATGCATGCACCCTTTGCACTCAGCCTCAGATGGACCAAAGCACAGTTTGCACTCGGAGTGACACGGAAAACACCTTCAAAGTAAAACGTAAAGTATGCTGGCATCATACTGGTATTTGGCACAATATAAAGAAATGTGTAAGGTCCTCCAGTAACTTTGTTCAAATGACCAAATTTTAAACGGTTATGAGGGCGTTAATAAAGTCTCAATACACAATTTAACGGTTTTTAAGTATCTGTAAGATGTGGAACTTCTACGAGGACATACAAAAACGCTTATGCCTATTCCCTTGGGGAGCATGTGTATTTCTTCATTACAGAATGTTTGATCTGCTCTGAAAAGATAATTTTTCCAATCTTTTATTTCTTAAAAAAATTTAACAGTGCCTTTACAATATGAAACTTGTGAGACTTACTTATGAGCATCGTCGTCATCTATGTAGCTCTTTTTCGGGCATTTGATCGTGCATTGCGTGTTGTTGTACAAATACGGCGCACGCGCAGAGCATGTCTCTACGCAGTTTCCGTAGTCGTCAAATACCAACCCCTCTCCACAGGGTTCTTTGCACGTGTCATTATCCTTGCCGATACCAAAACACTCTTCTCTGGTACACGGTGGAATATTGTCCCAGATATATTCTGCGTCTTGCCCAGTCCTTGAATATGTACCATAAAAGACAGGTTACAAGTTAACTTGGAAATGAGCAATGGATTTTTTCTTTGATTCTGGCAAAAAAAAAATGTGAATTGTCAGTAGCACATATGCAGAACACAGCAATGGTTATTTATTTTTTGAAGCGTTGCTTGTTGCTTGTTTCTCGTAAACAATGAAACACGAAAATGACACTAAATAGGAGCACTGAAATGTGCATTGCATTATTATTATTATTATTATTATTATTATTATTATTATTATTATTGGGGGCCTATTGTGATGGTTTAATCAGTTAATATAAAATGTTCACATAATTAAGGAATAGCTTTACGTGTCGAACTCTTAAATTAAATTTTAATAAAATTAAAAGTATGTTTTGGCTATGAATGCAATTAATATTAAATAAGTTAGAATAAAAAATTTAATGATAGGAAGAAACTCCATCTTCTTTATCTTCCTTTTTACGGTTAAAGGTGAAAAAAATAAAACCTTAAAGCAGAATAGTAAGAGCCATTCTTAATATCTTCCATTCTCCTTTGCAATCAGAATTCGGATGCGCCCAAGGACATACCGTGAGTACCCCGTGCACACGCATGCGTACACATCACTAGGGTTTGATGCGTTTGTCCAGTGGCTGCGCACGCATACTCCACCGCCGTAACTCGGTGTTCCTGTCACATGATCTATGAAGAACGCAGCGGGAGGGGGTGGTGCATTACTACACACAGCCAGGGGTACCGCTTTCCACGCCGCAAACACTACATTGCAGACCGTGTGATTCTGAAATTACATGTATGTAGTAGCAATAATAAACAACTTGTGACGAAGTGCAGGATTTCAGACACATAATTAGTACATAATATTATACTTCTTGTAGAACTTATCTCAGGACAAGCAATTCGATCATACTGCATCTTAAAGTTAAATGCCATATATTTATATCACAAAAAATTCATACTACACCCTCCTTACGAGCCTCGCCATCCATTAAATTCGGACAAGGAAGTCTGTGTGAGAACTGTTGTGTTGGAATGAAATTGCGATATTTGAAAAACTATCTCATTAGCATATGGGTTAGATATTACCAATTTTTTCAAGATTCTAACAGAGTTATGGTGAATGTGAGGAAAGATTTAAAGCTTACTTTTTTGGCGAAAAATACAGGAAAATCCGTTAAGCAAGTTTATTTTCGCAAGAAAATCCTTCACTTTACAACATTAAAGCAAATACGGAAGTTTCAATCTATAAATGCTATCAATAACACACCATATTTATCTATCTTTAAACAAAAAAAGTAGATTTTGTAGTTCAATTATGAACGATGAACTAAATTAATTTTTGGCGTAGGCCAGTTTTCTAAATCAGAAACCATTTAGACTATATTTCAGGACATTGCAAAAGTTTCTGTGTAACAACAGCCTAACAGCTTCAAGTAGTGGTATAAAATATTACAGAATCAAAGAACGTCATAGTGCCCAAGACATGAACCCACGAAGGCAACGGATTGTTTGTACATTGGAAAGAAAGTTAACAAGGTTACCGACAAATAAAAAAATATACACGTCTCGGTTTCATAGCAACTATGCAACATAACTGACATATAACTGAGATTGCTCTGTTTAACGTCCTCTTTGATTTTGAAATCGTTGTTAATACACTTACTTCGGAATCAACCACCGTGAAAAATCCCACCAGCAAAAAGAGAAGTGGTACAGCAAGCGCCATTATGAAAACATTTTGTCTTTATTGCTATAGTTTATTTGGGTAAGGCCCTGGGGTAGCAACTACGGATCCAGGTAACAAGGATGGGTCTGAAAGTGATTTGAAATCGCTTCTATTGTCATCATATGAAAAGAATAGTCCATGTGCACTTGGAAGGTCTGTTAGAACATACAGATGTCATATCCAATATCACGTTCTTGTTTCACTCTCGCCGTCCACTGATAAGATCAAACCCTGCAAGAAAATAGTAATACAAAGTGATCAATCATATCTGTCAGGCTGGTAAAATCGGACCGTTTTTCATGTATTGTGCATGCCACATATAACTGAATTTATGACTGTCAGGCTCAACACGTTCTCAACTTGAAAGACATTCTCCACTAAATTCTACATGCAAACCAGACACGCTTGTAAATAATCCAGAAATAAAGTAAGACTTAAATCTAAATTCTCTAAAATTCAAGCCCGGGTCTTCCTAGACAGACCATGAAATTATCAGTTAAGTATCGAGCCTTCGATCTAAAGGATATATCTTATGAAGAGCATGCATTAATGTACTGCATAGGACCACCAGTAGATGCACAGATATTCATACAACATAAATGTATGTACTATGATGACACTTAAGTTGAGAATATCTATACTTATGTTGAGAGCGTGATACAGAAAGACAGCTTGGAGTGGAACCTATCAAACAAACAAGATTAGGACTGATCAGTCTCACTAATGGAAGCATTACAATAATACATTGCTATTCGGAGGTTTGATCTACCTCGTGTTGCCTAGTATAATAGCAGTAAACATTGACCTTGCAAATGGAAATTTCCTTTTCTTTCATAAACAGTCGGCTCCTGGGAAAAACTGTCAACACCGAAGTTCCTCCAATTCCGTCTCAAAATGGACAAAAATGAAGTTGGGTCAGAGCGTCCAGGAATAAAAAAAGGAAAACACAGTTCTTTTCACACTTAAAGCCATAGAGTAATCTAGGTTACATGCCTCAGATACAAGCGCTGCCGTGGACTTTAAGCAACCTTCACGTGATTCAGTATCACAAGCTAAGCTCGATAAGCTAAAACAATGAGGGCAACTAATGTTTCTAGGTCAATGCATGGAAAGCAGTGTGCTGGGGCAGATGTTATATATAGGAACTGGATAAGATTAGATGTGGTAGTTGTGATTGCTTTTTGGCGGTGAAGTTTCAAATACTGGCACCTCGGCTAATTTCATACCATTAATTATTGAATAAGTCCAGATATCACAAGAATAAAGGTAAGTAGTTGGAGTGGTGATGTTCTAACAGGATATTGCAAATATCTTGCGTATATTGAACTAGAAAGTCAACTCTGATTTTAAAATGTAGGCTGTTCAGTGTACTTGTAAATTAGATCAAGAAAGTGAGTGAAACATTAGTGTATTGTTACACCCCATTTCCATAGATTTTTAGATCGATCTATCCCTGTGGGGAGTCTCACTAGATTACTGTCAGCTTGGCCGGCTTAAGCGTCTGTTCCGCCTACTAAAAGCTGTAAGGGGGTAATTAACTATGGTGCCCGCTCGGCTGACTGCAATTTAGCGTGAACCCCCAGGGAGTTAGGTCGATCTAAAACTTAATCTTTAGATCGATCTAAATCTCTGGGAAAGCACCCTTAAAACAAATTAAACCAAACCAAGACAAAAAAGTTTCGGGTAATGTTGGCAGAGAGCACGGTGAAAAAAACCTTTGAATGATTTTGTAAACCTCAAAAACAAAAATGAATTAAAAAGAAAACGAAAACAATGTTAATTTTAAAGACTTAAAGTCTAATTAATCACAACAATAAGTGTTACAACTCGGAACAAAGAAGTCTTGAAAGGCAATTACTTCTGATTTTATCAGTAAAAAGGCGAAATAATGCCTTTGTTTGATAGAACATGCAATAAGGTCCAGTCTCCCAAACATAAATGTAAGACCAAACGATGCCTTGATATGAAATGTTGTAGTTAACGCCCTTGTCGTCTATCGGACCAATTTTCATGAACCTTAATTAGTTAGGGACTTCCGATAACTATCTCACACTAATTTAAAAAGCATTTAAATTGACGATATTTGACGATAATTGGCCATCCAGTGAGGTGGTGAATAGAACGTCAAACAACGGAGTTTTGAGCCCCAAATATGTTTTATTGCACTGATATTTAGATGAATAATTACTAGAATATACAAAAGGAACACAAATAATTTGGTCTGAAAATTTGGATCAGTATTTGGGCTAAAGTTATTTTGTAAAATAGGATCCCTGCTATAATTCGAACCGCGAGGAGTCCCCTTGATTGCGCTTGTCGCAACTGACGCAATCATACTTGTTGTAGCACATTGATGTTTTTACTAAGGTGTGGTTGGAATGGTAGTCCGGGGAATGGAAGTCCAGTCTCACACATAATTAGTACAGGCTAGTCGGAGAATTGGGGTAAGTATATGGGACAAATGACACCTGTACAAAGTAATGGGGAACGGACTATGGTTCCTAGTGGACTACCATTCCTGTCACACCGGCACTGAGCAACCGCTTTTCAATATCACGCAGGTTATATACTGTAGCTATATATGGCATGGACAATGATATCTTTTCCTAATTTCACACCTGGTGTTAATTTCATTTAACAATAGTTGTCTTGTAAATTGAAGCCATTTATAAATTGAAAAATATGAGCTTTTCCCGGTAATTATTATGCACGGGATTGGGAAGGAATTAGGAACAATACGAAAGTTCATGTATTATAGAAGACACATGGCACTATCATCAGTTGCTTTTCAAATGCTTTGAGAGAGAGAGAGAGAGAGAGAGAGAGAGGAAGACACACACACACACAGAGAGAGAGAGAGAGAGAGAGAGAGAGAGAGAGAGAGAGAGAGAGAGTTTGTTACCCTTTTTTACCCTTAAATTTCACCTGCTGAAAGGAACGCCTCCTTATCGTAAATGTCGCTCTCCAGGGCGAATGCACCCTTATTATCAATAGAGGATGGTTAACTTGGGACTGCGCAATATATTAAACTAACACGTACTGGAGATAAAGGCTTAAAAACGCAAGTTCGTGTGGTGTGTATAGCTTCTTGTTTGAGAACATTTACCAATTGATCTTATGTACCTTGTATGCATTATGTAAAAGGTGTTGTTAGCTTACAGTCGGCAAAGGATCCAGCATGTTTCGCACTTATTTTTTGCACACAGCGCCCAATAATCTTAGAAATCGGAAACTCTGCATTCCTCCGTCCAAACATACACAACTCGGGCGGATTCAAGAAAGGGGGAGGGATAAAGGAAGGGGTTCGATGTACCAGGTTCGTGATTTTAAGCCGGCGTGTCGTGAGAAGCGTCAAAAGTTATGTGCCTGTGCCTCCCCCCTTGCCCCCTTCTGTACCCCTTGATAATAACTTGCCAATGCACACTTCATAGCTTGGAAAATTAAACTGCCTTATTCTTTTCCGCTGTTAAGATTTATATATCTATGTGTTTTCTGGATTATATGTATTCATGTTTCAATTCAGCGTATTTTCACATCATATCATTCTCCGCTGCTCTTTTATTTTATTTTTCTTTTTTAATCTTCCAAGTGTCCTCTCAAAATCAAATCGTCAATCATCGCCAATCAATTATTTATTGCATTTATATCACTGATTGATTATTATACTGGTCAATGAATTATGAATGCCGTAGCAATAGTCCGAAGGTTCAATGTCCGAAGGTTCATTGGTCCGAATATTCACTATAGAACCTTCGGACCAATGAACCCTTGATTAAAAAATCGATGAAAATGTTACCACTTTTCGGACCAATGAACGTTCGGACCAATGAACCTTCGGACTATTGAGACGCCCTCATTATGAATATGCGTTGCTTCCAGAAAATGACATAAATAATTAATGACTTCTTTAAATTTACACCCACAAACTTGGTCAGCATTTTACATGTTGTCAATTTACTAGCTGATACCCGTCACATCAATAATTGAACCATGATTAGAGATTAGTATACACGATTTTTAGAATCTTTTTATATACTATATTCTAAATACTAACAAAAATTTAAAAAAAAAAAGAAAAGAAAAGAAAAGGACGCGGGACTGAGTGTAAATCGTACCTACTCCGCCGCGTTATTGACAGTAAAAATACCCGTCACATATGTCGAAGCTTTACGGAAATTGCTGAAGGAATATGCCTACAAAATATACTTTTAACAATTATAATCAAATTCAAACTACGATCACCATCTTCCCAC